GGGAGTTCATCATGCTGGTCGTGATCGGGAATCAATCTGAAGTGTCGGTGAGTCTCCGTCAATCACACGGAGCCGTTCCGCTCGGTAGGAATTGTCTGCGATATTCAAATCCCATCCGTGCCTCGTCAAAGACCGCTCCCGTTCGGCGTTAGCGACTCTTAGCAGACCCCGGATAAGGCGTGGGGAGGGAGGGGAGCAAGAAAGCGACAGAAGGATGAGAGGATCTTTTTTTCTTTTTCTCTTTTCTTATTGTGAGCACGCCCCCCCCCCCCCCCACCCCTTGCAGGCGCGGGTCCCTATACAGTCTGGAATAGGTGATTGCGGATATCGCCGTGGATGGATGGGTGGATGAGGATGAAGGAGATCACGGGCAAATCGTCGATTGGAGCGACTACGTCGGCTCGCTTAAAATGAATAGATTCAGAAGGCAGCAGTAGCAGTCGCAGTAGTAGACAAGTTAGTACTCAGTAGTAACTATACTTAACATTACCTACCTAGTCCAAAAGACTCCTTCCTTGTTCGGCATTTGCCGCTATCGCGAGCCCAGCCGGTCAGATTAGCAGATGATGCTGGTAAAGAATTAAAATTGTTGAATCGAGTGTCTAAGGAGTGCCACTATCTGATTGATCTTTTTTATGAACTCTAAGTCTCCAATGTACGCCGAGCGCAGTGGCTGTGTTTTACTCCTGTCTGGGTTTCGTTCCCACCCCGGCCGGGCCGACCATTGAGAGTCACCCGTACTACTCATACTACCTACCGGTATACCACTTGCTAACGTAACTTATGGTCATCTCCTTCGACTCGCTAATTCCATAGGTACGATACAGTTACATGGCCTCATTAGATTAAAGAGAGATGATGGAAAGCTGTAGATTCGAATCCCTTCAGATCTGGTCTATGACGTACATCAACAATCAATTTTCATTTATCAGCGTCCCAGGTTGAGACCATCATCCTTCGTGTCAAGCATCAACCAAATCACCTGGTGATCGGTTGCGTAATCCTAGCTGCCGAAACTCAGGTATAAGCTGCCAGCGACCAGGGGGACTGTGCTCCCAATGTTCCAGTTGAGCCTCCTGTCACCTGCTCTCCAGCCAACGGAGATATTCTTCACTCTTTCTATGCATCATTTTCACCCAGACGATGAACCTTAAGAATCCCGCGGTCTGAGAGATCATATGCGAAGAGGACTAAGGAGAGGCCAGCCCTTCAGAGTCAGTCCAGGGGCCGACTATAGCCGTGCCTCAACGGCTCGTCCAGGTCCATGAATCGACCATCAGCCATCGACTTCGACCCAAAAAAAGGAACTGAAGGAAGTAAGTAAGACCAACTGTCTCTTATCTCATCTCATAGTTCAACATTTTAACTTCTCGAAAGGATGATGCTGCCGCCCAACTCCCTGCTTGGGGGAAAACCGCCCGTCGGGATTCGTTCGTTATACTTTATTGCGTTTCTCCGCCTTTGGTAATTCTCGCATGAGGAGAATCCTTCATGCTGACAGACCAACTGTCAAGAGAGAGAGAAAAAGGAGTCAGTCGGTCATAATAGCCTCATGGTCATGGCGTTGCCATGCCATGCCATCGCGCGCGGCTCCATATCGTCGCATGCAGTTTGAAGTTAGCGGGCGCTTTGGCCATCCTCAAAAGGAAGAATACGACCCAGCCCCAGACTAGATCGGTTTATCTCCTCAATCATATCGATCATCCTTATTAACCCAGCGGCCAAAGGGAGTTGGATTGCCAGTAGATCGAACCTTACCGCCTGGTAACTTATCGCCGGGGTGCCGTGTTGTTGTTGTTGTTTCTATGGTGTGGCTCCTTGTCTCCTCTTGGTGGGAGTATACCCCACGACGCCATGCATCGCTTGGTGATTCTGTCAGCAGAATCTCCACCTGCAATTCTGAACTCTCTCGAGCTGGCGGTGATTTCGGTGCCTAACTGGGCGGAGTCAGGAGTGAGAGTTCTGGCTCGACATCTCAGGTTCCAGTAAATGCAGGTGGGACGTCCTTGCTTGGACGGACAAGAGTAAGCTCAATCTGATACAGAATGTCACTTTCACCAACCTTACATATTGATACTGAGAAAAAATGCCGGCGCCCAAGGTAGTGCCCCTTGGCCGAGGTCAATGGAACTTCCAGTATTGTTGTAGAGACTACAAGACGATAGAAATTGACACCTGAGGCATCGACGGGTGCTGAGCTAACATATCACGTGATTATCTAGCGATAAGGCGCACTTACTTAAGCATGGAGCTTATCAGGCAGGCCGGCCGCCCTTGCGCAGAAATCATGCGGGCCAAATAAACATGGTCGGACCTCGTCGTTCCTCTCTGTCCAAAGGCCCGAGGGTGAGGATTCGGTGTTCCATCTAACGAAATAAGCTGTCATCATGGCCAATCACACCCACGAGGAAAATCTGGAGAACAGATCCATAATCCTAGTGACGGGCACAAACAGGTAAGCTCAGCTCCGCCCCATCGCATAGCTCCTAAGCTTCCCTGGCCCCTTATCCCGCCGCACCAACAACCGAACACAAAGTCGGGACAGACAAGAACACCACAAAGCAGCATCATTACTTCAATTGACCCTCTGACTAACATTGGTATCCTCTCTCTCACCAAACCAGTGGTCTCGGGTTCTCAATATGTTGCCGCCTCGTCGACGATTTCCTCAAGTCCCCCGCCAACAACCACCGCAGCCTGGCGGTGGTCTTCACCACGCGCAGCACAAAGAAGGGCACTGAGACCCAGCAGCGTCTCGAGCAGCACCTGCAGAGCACGACAACACAAACCCCGGAGCATCGGGCCCGCATCACCTTCATCCCGGAAACCGTTGACCTCTCCAGCCTGCCGTCCACGCGCGCCTGCGCCCGGCGCCTCACGCGCACCCTCCCCAGGCTGGACGCCGTGATCCTTAACGCCGGCATCGGCGGCTGGACGGGCCTCAACTGGCCACAGGCCGTCTGGGGGGTGCTGACGGACCTGGTGCATACCGTCTCCTGGCCGGGGTACAAGATCGCCTCCGTCGGCCTGCTCACGGCGCCGCAGACCATCACGCAGCGGGACCAGGAACCCCGCCTGGGCAACGTCTTCTGCGCCAACGTCTTCGGCCACTACATGCTCGCGCACAACCTGATGCCTCTACTCCGTCGAGCCTCCTCCCTAACTCCCCAGAATAGCAGCAGCAGCAGCAACAGCAGCAGTCGCATCATCTGGGTCTCCAGCATCGAAGCCACTCTCCGACACTTCTCCATCGACGACCTCCAGGGCCTCCGCACCGCGGCCCCCTACGAATCCTCTAAAGCCCTGACCGACATCCTGGCCCTGACCGCCGATCTACCATCCACAAGCCCCTGGACCGAGTCGTTCTGCTCCACCACGCCCTCAAACACATCCTCCACAGACGCAAACAACCCCCCTCCTACCCTGGAAACCGAGGCCGCGACCACCAAACCAAACACCTACCTCGCCCACCCAGGCATCTGCGGCACGGCGATCCTCCCGCTGCCGCTGCCGCTTACTTACGCGATGCTGATCGCCTTCTGGCTGGCGCGCCTGCTGGGCTCCCCCTGGCACACGATGTGGACGTACCTGGGGGCGTGCGCGCCCGTGTGGCTAGCGCTGGGCGGCCAGGCCGAGCTGGACGCCGCCGAGGCGCCCTACCGCGCGCACCCCGGCGGCGGCCGCGTCAAGTGGGGGTCTTCGTGCGACCGCCGCGGCCGCGACGCGGCCATCTCGACCGAGGTGGACGGCTGGGGCCACGGGGGCGTCGTCGGGCCCGCCGTCGTCGCTGCAGACCGGCTGCGGCGCCGCAGGCGCGGGGCCCGCGACCTCACGGCCGAGGAGCGGGTCGCCTTCGAGGAGCTGGGCCGCCAGTGCTGGCGGCGCATGGAGGAGCTGCGCGTGCAGTGGGAGGGAATCCTTGACCGCGAGGAGGAGGAGCTCGCACTCCAAAGCAAGGGCAAGGGGGCTGCCACCGCTGCGCAATGATGAACACATTACGCTCCACTGGGAAAAGGGGGGGGTCATCGTGTAACAAATCATGCCTTCGGTATTGGTGTATTCCTACTAATGTATAGGTTATTATCAAATAACATAATCAACGATAATGGAAATCAAGTCTTAACGACTACAGTAGATTTGAGCAAACGTATTACGCAGTGATATTCTTTTTATTTTGCTTTCTTTTTTCTTTTCTGTTTTCTGGATTCTTGCCTCTCCGTATTTACATTCCTTGAAAAAACCCATGTCCATATACGTCATTAAAATCAGATAAGAGTATTAGCCCATGTGCTCACCCCCTTTCCCCTTCAAGAAAACAGAACAACAACGAAGTTGAACGGAAGAAGGCGGAGAGACGACTAAAGAAGAACGACAGGCTGAAAAGCAGCTGCATCGTCGACAAAAAGAAGTCAAAAATGAGAAAGGGCGGGAATTGGACATAAGAAGTAACCAAATCGGGTCAAAGTGCTGGTCGGAGACCGCAGAAAATGAGATTAGTAGGTTTTACAGAAGAACAGACCCGAGTCAAGACACGCTTCCACCATCAAGGCCTCTAGCATGCGAAAGTCGGTCAATCAAGCACAAGACAAAAGGAGTAAAGCGCAAGAAGGGAGATTGTTCAGGGGAGTCGGGAAAGCAATTGTATCCAGGTGGGGAAAGCCAGGTCGTCGAGCAGAGCTAGCGGTGAAAGAGGTTTGCGACTCAAATTTCTATGCATCTGAGCATTTCCGGGAGATGGGCGGATTTTATGGTGTATAAAGGGGGCGTGGCGACGTGAAGAGGAGGTTTTACATGATAATCGCAGGAACTAAAGGGAATGATTTGTTAGTGAACAGAGTACCGGGCCTTGTGAATTGTGGTGAGGCTTACCATCGATGTTCTGCTTGATGCTCTTGTGAGGCAGGATCGAGCCACCGTTCACGTAGACTTCATCAGCAATGGTGACATCGTCACCAAGCACGGTGACATTCTCCAAACGAGCCCACCGACCAACGGAGCTGTTCCATCCCACGATGGTCGACTTGACCCAGGCGTGGTCCTTGACCTTGCTGTTCTCCATGAGAACACAACGCTGCAAGCGGACACCGTCACCGATCACAACGTTGGGGCCAATGACCACATTGGGGCCAATGCGGCAGTTCTTGCCGATCTTGGCAGAAGGGTCGACCATGACGTTTCCGCCGTACACGTAGGGCTCGCTGTTGGGAGCAAGCAGTTTCGAGTTGCGCTTCGCCAGGGAGGTCAAGTAGAGGCAGGTTCCGCTAAGGAAGTCCTTAGGCTGACCAACATCCATCCAGAAGCCTTCCAAGTCAAAGGAGTGCAGCTGGCCATCCTTCACAATGGCGGGGAATGTCTCTTGTTCGATGGAGGTGGGGCGGAGCTCGATGCGGTTCAGCACGCTGGGGTTCAGGATGTAGATACCCGCGTTGATGCGGTTGCCAACGAACTCGACGGGCTTCTCGACGAACCGATCGATCCGACTGGGGTGGTTGGGCTTGTGAACGACGACACCGTACTTGGAGGGCTCGTCAACCTTGGTGACAACAATGGTACCCTCGTTACCATGGCTCTTGTGGAACTCGGCAAGCTCCTTGAAGGGATAGTCGCAGATGATGTCCGAGTTCAGGACGAAGAAGGGAGAGTCGTCCTTGCCCAAGATCTTCTCTGCCAGCTTCAGGGGGCCGGCCGTGCCGAGGGGTTCGGATTCGACGGAGAATTCGATTCTGACGTTATATTGTTCCTCGTACTATGTAAAGAGAGCACTGTGTGAGTTTATTCGTTTTATTCGAGTCGTGAAGAATATAATAATCATACTTTTTTGAGGGCAGCAACCATGACATCGGGGCGGTAGTTGACAGCCAGGACAATGTCCGTGACACCTGCCGCAGCCAAGCTTTCCACCTGGTGCAAGATCATGGGCCGATTGGCGAATTCCACCAAAGGCTTAGGAAGCGTCAAGGTCTAGGGAGAGGCAGGAGATCAGCAAGCGCATTTTCGAGAAATCCCGACTGCATCGGTATGTTGGACGTCACGATGGTCAGCGGGGAGGGCAGAGCGGGAGCTACTCACCAAAGGACGCAGGCGGGTACCGAAACCTCCGACCAAAATAAGAGCTATAAGATGTGACTTGTCAGATTAAACAGTCGCTTGATGGCCGTGAATAGATCATAAATCTATAGACTTGTACATACCCTTCATGATTGCGGTAGTGTGTAATTGGTGTTAGAGCGAAAGGGGGTAGAGGGGTTGTTCGGAGGGGGACTTGCTCCAAACGAGTGACCGGAGCAGAGTAGTATGGGCGAGGTACAAAAGATTAGAAGTGAAACCCACACGGGGGAAAGAGAAGGCTAATGGAAATGTTTCGAGGTTGGTTCAAAGTAAGACCCAGCAATCCGAGATGGACGGGGAAGAGTGATAAGATTGAATTAGAACAGAATGGAGAAGAGAATGAATGGACGGGGGGGGAGGGGGAAGAAGGTGGAAAAGGAGAGGAAATTGAGTTATAAGAGAAAGCGCAAGAGAGAAAGAAGACAAGAGAGAGAAGAGGAGAACACCTGGCTATTGTGACTTGACTACGACTTGACTTGATGGGTGGATTTTTTGGGGGGGGGGGGGTAGGAGGGGGGCTGTAACGGAAGCGTATGTATGGAGATTGTATGGAGGTTGTATGGAAGACTAGAGGAGAGGGCCGGAGGGCTAAAGGGCCAGCCAGAGAAGGGCCCCCCCCCGTTGCACCCCCGATGCACCCCCTTAATAGTATAAAGTGTGGGCAGCCTTATGCTAACTAACTGCTAACTACAACGTAGTGTCCACTAATCCAGGCACCGAACGGACCACTGGCTGGCTGGCGTTTCAACCACCGCAAAGGCAGGCCGCACGTTTGCGGCAACGCCACCCCATTTAAAACCAGTTCCGTACCGGCAGCGTATGGTTTCAGGTCTAGAGCCATACTAAGTACGGATTACTCCTGGACTAGTCGCGGCCGGATCAGGTGCCTTCGTGGGGCAATCATTTCATTATTCCCAGTTGTTCGTTTCTTTCTTGCCCCTGGATCTTCCCAGCAACTTCACCATCCATCCTTATTACGCGTTGCAATAATGGAAAGGACCATAAGCGATGGCCGGGTTTGTTCTTTCATGTGCTGATATTGTATCATACTCTCATGCAGTTACCACTACACAAAGAGGTCACTTGAAAAGGTCATTAGCATGATCTACAGCACAATTCGTCATAATCCCCAGCCGCTTGTGTTCACCTCACCATCTCGGCATATGGATGCTGCTCAACCCTCCTCGGGTTGCATTCCCCCATTTGCTCGCCATCCAAGACCTGGTTGTTGTAGAGCCGCGCTGAGCTTGTTACTCAAGTGTTGCAGTGAAGCAAGTAGTGTATGCAGGAGGCATAATCATCGCGCCCCCCCTCCCCAAGAAAACTCCCAACGGCCCCGGTAGCAACTCCTAGGCTTCAAGATCTTCTGATCGTCCATGTATGATCGCGTTTGAGGACAGACAATGGATTTCCTGCTTTGTCCGCCTTCTCCCCGGTTCGTATTACCAGCCAGTCCGATCAGGTGCATGGTCCGAAGCGCAATAGTGGAAGAGCAATTCCCAGCTCTCTATGCCCTTACCTACTAGACTGTGGTTGATGTTCTAAATATACTCTTGCGTATCCGGAGGCAGTGTGTTATTTGTGGTAGCTTTTCCAGCCAGCCCACGTGTTAGGGGCCCCTTACCACTGTCACCGCCTACCGCATTCGGCGCAAATCGTCTGATCCACTCGCGCACCTTGCTGACTTTCTCAACCAGCAGATCCTCTTCCTTCTTGGCTGCAGGACCCTGCTGCTGCCGCCGTTGGAATTCTTGTAGCCTCTTGGTGCTGTAGACACCGCCTGCATCGTTTGCGTCAACCCGCTGTCGATGCAGAAGGTCAACTCTAGTGACTCCCTTCCGCAGGCTCTGCCCGTATACCCGTTCGCGGAAGGAACTCAGTCCTACCGTGCGCATCAGAACAACGTCTCGAGGCCGCAGCGTAGCCAGCGTCCTTCCAAGTTCGTCCTCGAAAGGGTTGCGATCACCGGCCGCATGTGCCTGGTCCGCAGGAGGAAGCCAGAAGGTTACTCCAAATCCGCTTCGCGTGTCATCGCCCACTACAACCTCTACCAAGTCTAGTTCTTTCTTCCATTGCCGTGTCACAATGCGGCGTGGAGGGTTGATGGTGATGATTGACACGACTAGGTTCACAGTCACGGTCTGCGGCACGATCGACGTCAAGTATGCTGCCGTAGGGATGGCCTGGAGGTCGGTGACAGATGTTTGGCCTAGAATCCCTGGGTTCGGCGCTTCTTTCTCGCTCACTGTTGCGATCGAACTCCCGGTACTATCGGCCCAGATGCCGCTACCTTGGAAAGAGGTCTCAGAGCGAACCCCGGTCGCCGAAATCTCGGAAATTTCATGCACGGTGAAAGAGTGCTCGTAGAACCGTGAGAGTACTGAACCCTCTGGTTCATTGGCCGAAATCCCGCCAGAGACTGCGAGGTCGCGGGTTGCTAAGAAGCAGGCCCTTTCCTGGGAGCCCGTGTCGAACGTCCCTTGTAGCAACTGAGATGTCCGCAGGTCTTGCAAAAGCCTCCACTTGACAGGGTAAGCATCTGTCAGGCGCCATAGCTCTTCGTCATCCAGATTTGGTTTCTTGAAGGGAAAGATGGGCTCTGTAAGTAATTGCTCTTCATCCCACTGAAGGTTTCTCGGCGTGGGTGCACCCATTAAGAAGATGAGTTTCTTGGACATCGCCTTGGCTGATATGTACAGAAGCGGCCATGAGGCTTGTTGAAGCAGTACGATTGATCTGCCACGCCTTGGAGAATAATGCCGCTGCAGAGCACGGAGAAATGTAATGACTCTGGTATACGGAGTATAGTGTCAATACTCGGCCATAGGAGATCGGACGCACCGAGATTAGGCGGTTAGTGGCGGGCTATGGATCGATATCCCTGATCATAGATCCAGTTATATAGCAAAAGTACACGAATGAGGCTCTGGAGATGAAAGAGCAGAGGCTGCTGCAGAGGCTGCTGCAGACTTCGCGTCACTGTGTCGAAGCTGAACCACGGATTGCAGACTAGTAGCATCGTCGGTCGTACGGTACTTCAAATACAGTACCGTAACTCCAACCTCAAGATATCATTGCGAAAAGTGCCGATTGAGTCAATTGCTGACTGATCGATGGAGACATTCGATTAGCGTACTAGATACGTATCAGCATGATTTCCTAGCATACCCACCTTGATGACATCTCCATGCCAGAAAGAGACATGGTGGACTGCGAAACCCGATCTATTCATATTCCTCATATTCGAGGCGGGTATCACGTGGATGGGAGACAAGACTACGGAACTCCATTGAAGTCGCAGTGGCAACTTCGGCAGATGACTTTCGCCGCCCGCCGAATATCAGACTGGCCCGACATCATCATTCCCGGCTTCCATCTTCGCCCATCGATTCACTGTATTGAGGTGATAGGAGATGGCTTTTGCCTATGTTAAACATCTGAATAGGCTCTCATATTATTCTTCTTTCCCACTTCTCTGTTGAAGGGTAATCTCTGGAATCAGCGGCCAAGTGCCGCCATCCTATAGCCCATGGCCTTCCAAGTCCCGTTCCCTATGCCGGTATGACCCATTCATTTTCCCCAGTTCAACATGTCGACTCCTTTACTAATGGCGTCTTCTTGCTATAGAATCTGGCGGCAGTGACATCGGATGCTTGGCCTTCTCTGTCCAGAATACTGAATGCGCCCTGGAAACTGATCGAGCACCCCGCCTCCGCCTCCGCCCCTCAGCTGAAACGTACCGGCCACGAAACCAGTTCGATTGTATGTCTTTATACCCATCCATCGCGGGCGTCGGAGAAATTGCGTACTCATGGATATCTTCCCAGGAAACTCGCCAAATTGCGCTCCCTGAATGTCTGACCACAGTATCCTCCGAGGCTCTTAGATCGGCTGTTATGTACAAGCCGGCGGCATCTGGAATGGCTCGCTCCCTGTTCGCTGGTAAATCGCCACAAATTCATTTCGCATTCTCAGCCACAGACTAACTTCACTTTCATTTTCTAGCGACCACTCTTTGGGCTCCGCCATCGACCACTAGCCGTCGTCTTGCCGCACCCGCCTCTCGTCTTTTCTCCACGCTGACCGCAAATCCGAACCGCATCCGCCACGCCCCGCACCTACATGGACTCTCACGTCTCCAACAACAGCGGTACCTCTTTGGGGGTCCGTCTCAGGCCTTGCTAGCGCAGAGGGAGAAAACCGCGAACAACAACCCCAGTAGCGCGAACGCTCAAAATGCCTTCTACCAGGCTCTTCTGCGCGCAAACCATCCAGCCATTATCCTTGAACGGTACAGATCCGGGTACTTTGCTAGTAACGCGGCCACTGAGGCGATCTACCACAAGGCTTTGCAACGGGTCAATGGGATCGATGGCTCAACATCTTTCTTAGGCGCCAACCAACAGTCCAATCCTGACCTGCTTCATCAACTTAAGCCCGAGCAAATACAAGCTATTGGTCAAGCTGTTGGTGCTAAAGGTATTCATGGCAAAGTACACGCGGCACCTGGCCAAACTGGCACTGGAGCTAAAGAAGCACCTCTGTACGTTGTGGTCGAGGAGTCAAGGGGAAGCACTATTTTCCGCTGGGTGAGATTCTTTATCACGATGGCGTTCATCGCATACCTGTCTTGGGTGATTCTCGCTGTCGTCCTTGAGACCTCTGGTGTTTTGCGAAACGTCAAGGGCCCGCAGAACAACGAAGCTCAACCCGAACACCAGACCGTGCGCTTCAGCGACGTTCATGGATGCGACGAGGCCAAGGACGAGTTGCAGGAACTTGTTGAATTCTTGATCAATCCCGAACGGTTTTCCTCGCTCGGTGGCAAACTGCCCAAGGGTGTCCTTCTGGTCGGTCCCCCTGGTACTGGCAAGACTCTACTCGCGCGTGCTGTGGCAGGTGAAGCCGGTGTTCCTTTCTTCTTCATGTCTGGGTCGGAATTCGACGAAGTCTACGTTGGTGTTGGCGCCAAGCGTGTTCGGGATCTGTTCACTCAAGCTCGCAGCAAATCCCCTGCTATTATTTTCATCGACGAGTTGGACGCCATTGGTGCAAAGAGAAACGAAAGGGATGCCGCGTATGTGAAGCAGACTCTGAATCAGCTGCTTACCGAGCTCGATGGATTCAATCAGAGCAGCGGAGTCATCATCATCGCAGCGACCAACTATCCTCAGCTGCTTGACAAGGCCCTCACGCGTCCTGGTCGTTTCGATCGGAAGGTAGTTGTCGGTCTTCCAGACGTTCGCGGTCGCATGGAGATTCTGAACCACCACATGAAGAGCGTGCAAATCGGCACGGATGTTGATGTGGAGGTCATTGCTCGTGGCACTTCTGGGTTCTCGGGTGCTGACCTTGAGAATCTCGTCAACCAGGCCGCTATTTATGCCAGCAGGAACAAGAAGACCAAGGTCGGACCCAAGGATTTCGATTATGCCAAGGACAAGATCATAATGGGCGCGGAGGCTCGCAGCCGGGTGATCCAGGACAAGGACAAGCTTCTGACTGCTTACCACGAGGCTGGCCACGCTCTCGTTGCTTACTTCTCGAAATCCTCCATGCCGCTCTATAAGATCACTATCGTGCCCCGCGGAATGGCGTTGGGTATCACACATTTCCTGCCTGAGATGGACATGGTTTCCAAGGATTACACCCAGTATCTGTCGGATATTGATGTCGCCATGGGTGGCAAAGCTGCGGAGGAGCTCATCTTTGGCCCTGATAAGGTCACCAGTGGTATCTCGGCTGTAAGTTCGATCTTCTACCCTTCTTCATGGGAGGGAGTCTTTGCTGACAAGTTGCAGGATATTGAAGCAGCCACCAAGACCGCTTTCGCTCTCGTCACTCAATTTGGGTACTCCAAGAAACTTGGAAATGTCGACTTGATGTCCAACTACAGCAGCCTATCCTCCGAAACGAAACAAGAAATCGAAGCCGAGGTTCGACGCATCGTCGAGGAGGCCCGCGTTCGCGCCACCAACATTCTGACCGAGAGGCACAAGGAGCTCGAACTGCTGACCCAGGCTCTGATCAAGTACGAGACCCTGACCAAGGAAGAGATGGAGAAGGTTCTGCGGGGGGAGAAGCTCGACAAGCTGGAAACAGCGCCGGCCGCTCCCATCAAGTTGCCCGAGGTTTTGCGGACTGCCAAGTTGCCCTCGCCGAACCCCGAGGACATACCCCCAGTAGCCACCAATTCCGCCAACGAATGAAGCGCGAGCCGCTATTCCTGACTTTTATGACCTTGACCTTCGACCTATGTCCTCTCCCCTCTCCCCTTTGAACCATATCTTTGTGGAGGCTTATCAGCAGAGCCCGGTAGCCTTTGCACTATCGTCTTCACTACATTCCCGAATTCGATCTACCACGGAACATGATCGATTGATGTCACCGCCATCTTACACAGATTTCTTTTGCTCTGCATTCCATTCCGGTTGTACTTTGTTCTTATCTTGTATTGTTTTTCAGACTTGGGTATATCTGATTTCCGCTACCCCTTATTTCATGAGTGAATCGGTCTTTCCGATGTTAACATGTATGTAGCAAGCATGAGAAGGGTGTTTTTATGAAAGATGATGGTATAGGGCGTTATCTGGCCCTATGGGGTTATCACGGAACCTTTTTGTGCGTAACATGTGTACATACATGTATCAAAAATTTGCATGAGTACCGGATACGCAAAGCGAGATGTTTGTAGACCAGGTCAGTAGCAATACACATTTAATCATAGCCCTGATACATCCAAAAGAGGAAAGAAGGGAATTGTCACTGTTGTGGTTTAGGTTTAGGTTCGGGTGCGGAAGGGACATATTCGTTTGTAGGATAGAAGTTGGTAAGCCAGCCTCTTACAAAAGAGATATGTACATCATCGGCCTTGGGGTCTAAATCTCTATCCTCAGTAGTATTGCAGCCCGACTGATCCCAGAATAATAGTGTACTGTGATTCCGGGTACTGTACGCATCAGAGTAATCCGCTCAGCCCTCTATCCCTATCTGTCCCCTGGCATAAGCCCAAATCTACCAGAATGACAATCTATACATCTACACTTCAATGTTCCAATCCCATCCATCCCCTCCCCCCCTCTTTTTTTTTTTTGGCTCCCTCCTTTGCTATATGTACCAACTCCTTTCTACCTCTACCTCTGTTCACATCCCAAGATCAAGATCCATATAAGTATGAAAATGTATAAAGAGTATGTAGGTATATATGCAACCCAACCATTCCACAAAACCAACCCTCATAAACCCATACCAACAACAAAGAAATTGAACAGCGAACTTCTCCCCTACACGAGAAAGAAAACAACCTACCAACTCGTTTTCCCCGTTTGCCGATCAAACCCGCCCCGCAACTGCTCCGCCGGCTTAACCACCTTCCCCTGCAACACCGTATACCGGATGATATTCTCGCAGTCCTGCGGCTTCACCCGGGCCAGCCAGATACCCTGGGCTGCGCCTTCAGCCGCGGCATCGGCTCCAGCCCCCGCTCCCGCAGACGATTCGTTCGAAGCAGCAAGATGCCACCCCCACTCCCTCCGCCGATAGACAATCACATTGGCCGCGTACTTGTGCCCGCCGACGTGATTGATGAAGTAGATCCCCACGCCGCCGGGCCGCTCGTCGTCCAGGTCGCGGTACAGATTCAGGTGGCGCAGGTGGCGCTCGAACTCCTTGCGCAGGAGCGGGGCGGACTGGCCGCAGCGGGCGTCGCGGGTGCGGTGCGAGCAGAGGAGGATGATGGCGGAGTGCGGGCAGGGGCGGGCGCGGAGGGGGGTCAGGCCCGTGAGATCGAGATCCGTTTCTGGTTCTGGTTCCGAGCCGAGAGTGCTGGTCAGCGGGGTGGTGGTGGTCGGGCCGCGGCTGACAAAGTACTTGATCAGATCCGGCGCCAGGGCGGGCGTGACGTGGTCGATGAGGGTGAAGCTCGGCAGGCAGAGGACGGTGGTGGGTTGCTGGCCCGGTTCGTGGTAGTGGTATTCGTCGGGGACGGGCATGTTGGAGGCGGAGAGTTTGAGTTTCTAGCCATGATGGGGGATTAGTTGGGTTCTCTGAGGCGTGTTGTCGCGTGCGGTAGAAGTAGACGCAATTTGCACAGTTTGATCTTGTTATAAGGGAGGCTGACGCACCCCATTGCTCGGAACAAGCCCCCCCTTCTCGATCGCCTCCATCACGCTCCCCGGCTCGTCCGCCACGTCGCGCACCCAGTCCATCTTGCCCGTCGCGACGAGCACGTGCGTCGCCCACTCGCTGATGTTCCCGTACATGTTGTCTTCCTGGTCCACGTCGAATTTGGCTGGGTACTTCACCGTGCAGGAGGCGCAGTCGTGCAGGCACTCCTCGCCGTCCACGGCCGGGTCGACCTTGGGGAATAGCGTCTCGGCGGGCTGGACTTCTTCGGCGGCGGCGGCGGCGGCATTCTCGTCGCTGGCTTTGGGACTGTCTGCCGGGGTGGCCGAGCGACTCGGCGTGAAGAAGGCTGCGCCTCGTTGGATGAAGGACTGCATGGTTTGTGTTGTTTGTGTGGGAGAGAGGGGACCGGGGGAGGGTAGGAGTTTTGGTAGTTTGTTGCGCGGGACAGAAATTCTAGCTATCAAGAAGGAGGGGGGGAAACGTCAGATCTTATCAATCGCTCTGCCAAGCCACAAACACTGATGATGGAATAATTGACTAAGATTCGCTTGCCGATGCTCCGATTGGCGGACGTCACGTGGCTTGGGCCCGAAAAGCCGAAGCAGCTCGGAAGATGTGGGGGGAGACCACCCGACCTAGACACGCAGTCACATAACACAAGACCAATGAGAGTGTGACGAAACTAATGAATTGCGTTTGCTCCTCGGATTTAACTATCATATCTAAACTAGCTTCCTTCCCCCCACCACTAGCAGGGGGGCTCGGAACTCGGAATTAAAGGCGTTCCCTCGACCCTCCAAGATTAAAGGCATACGGCAGATCCGACGGTCCCCGGGCTTCCACCAAATGAATGACGCTGCCACCAGAGCTGTTGGACGGCAGTCGCCTAAGCGAGCGCATCGATGGCGTCCGCGGCGGCTCCATGGCCCGACCACGTGTAGTCGGCCGCCGCGACCAGACAGGCGACCAGCGCCCGTGCTGTCTTGCGGACCGGGCATCCCAGGACGAGGCATTCGACGGCCGCAGGCTGTTGCTGCGCCCGTGGGACAACATTCCCTCACTATCCTGAAACGAATCAATGGTCTCCGTCTCCCCTTCCTCATCCGAGGGTCCGATAATGGACTCGCTCTCTGTCTGACTGCTGGCCCCGTCCTCCTCCTCCTCCTCCTCCTCCGCCGCCGCCTGCAGCTCCGCCAGCACACGCGGATTCAGCCCCGTCATGCCCCGTAGCAGCTCCGCGAAGACGTGCATCAGCTCCCGGAACTCGTTCTCGTGGAGATCCCGCGACGAGAAGCGCGCCCGTTCGTAGCGCGCGATGAACTCCGCGCCCACCTCCGGCGGTTGGACGACATCCAGCGACGCCAGGTGCTGCAGGTACGCGCGCAGGCCCATGGAGACCGGTCGGCGCAGGACTTCCACCACCCGGGTATCCGGGAACGACTCATCGGCGTCGGAGAACGGGGCGCGGAGGGACTGGTGCACCCCGGCGAAGATCGGGTCGGGGGGAGCGAGGGAGACGGCTTTCGCTTCGATCAGGTGAGGCAGTTCCTGGATCACGGTTCGGTACGGGAGGTCCGGCAGATCCGCGCACGAGGGCGACGACCAGCCCGGGTGTTCGACGGGACCCCAGGGAGGGTGGTCACGGTCGATCAGCAGCGATTCGTAGTTGGCGAAGTCATCCCCATCGGCGGCCAGGTCCCGCGGTCGGGCTTGGTAGGCGATGATCGCGCTGTGGGCTAGGCCCTCCTTCACCAGTCGTCGCACGCTCTTGCCCACATCTTCCTTCTCCACGGGGATCCAGGCCTTGGGGATTCCGGATAGAACGGTACGGTTGGTATAGAGACGGGTCGCATATATGAGGATGGCGAGAATGAATGTAACGACGTAGCCGCCCGTGATGATAAAGATGTTCGTGAGGCGGCGGGTGATGTAGCACTGGTAGATGGCGTCGGCGGGGGTCAGGATGATCAGAAAGAAGAGGACCACCGAAAGGAAGATAAAGAACGTCAAGTTAAGGAAGCGCTGGAGGTTGAGGGCCATAATCGCGCACACATCATATCGCGCATTGTCAGCCCCTGCGCCGCTCGAGTTACAGGCACGAGCTGGCTGGAAGATGTCAGGGATGCAGACTCCGGAAGGGGCCCCGACCGGTTAAAGGAGACGCTGATCACGTGATATGTAGATAGATACCAGACATGATTAAACATTACTAAACCTCACCAAACATCACTACTCATCACTAAATAACCTACCCCCTACGGCAGTTGCCAACGCTTGGTGGGCAGACGGCGACATTAACAATGTGTATTATTCATCTACGTCCCATGCAATCTATTGCTCTACAAATCACATAACGCTGAACGGTCTAAATTTATGCAAGCCCCTCAATCATCCTCTACGGCGACCTCGTCCTCCGGCTTGGGCTCGAACTGAGCGCGAGCGCGGCGGATGACCCGCTCGATACCATCCAGACCCATCTTCAGGACATCCATCTTGGGGCCGTAGCTCAGACGAACGAAGTGGTGGCAAGGACTGTCGAAGAGATCACGTCTCTTGGCCGGGTTCAGGTCGAAGAAGATACCGGGAACCACAATGACCTTCTCGGTCAGAAGGGCATTGAAGAAGTTCAACCCGTCCGAGATGTTGGCCTCCTTGGGAAGAGGAGGCTCCAAAGAGGTGAGATCAAGCCAGATGTAGAAGGTGGCCTGCGGGACATCCTTCACGCGGAAGCCGATCTCGTGCAGGCGCTTAAGAACGAAATCTCTCTTCTCGCGGAAGTGGGATTGCAGCGCCTTCATCTCGGCTCTCACCAAGTCGGGCTCAAGCATGGGAATGGCGGCCTCCTGGAAGGGCACGTTGGCACCACCGTCCAGGTAGGAACCGGCAGAGCCCAGAGCATCCACAAACTCCTTGGGGCCAACAACCCAGGCAATACGCCATCCCGGGAGACGGAAACGCTTGGTGAGACCGTCAATCAGGAGCACATCTGTCATAGTCAGCATTGAAAGAGATGAGAAGGGTCAGCTAGCGAACCATCTTGGTTAACGTCCACCACGTGCTCAGCACCGCTGATCGTGGTTCCGTCACAGTCCGTGGTATAGTTGTAACCACCGTAGAACTCGTCAAGGATCAGTGTCGCGCGATCTCTGCAGATGTCTTGGATGCGGGCGAGCTCCTCGTTGTCAACAAAGTGACCGGTGGGGTTACGGGGGTTGGAGGTCAAGAGAACAGAGGTACCACGGGCAATCTCCTCGGCGATCTTATCGGGGTGGATGTGGTAGTGGTCATCCTGGGCAAGAGGAATGGGGATAGGCGCGATCTAAGTAGCACAGTTGTCAGAATCTAACAACGCCACTGGCTAACCGCTGTTGACAGACCGGAGCCGTGTCGCACACTTACGTTCTTGAACAAGGTCAACATCTCCGAGTAGGCGGAGTAATCGGGAATAGGGAAAGACAGGTAGGAGTTGCCCAGAATGGCAGCGATACGGATCAACCCAGCACGGCCACCGGGGACAATGCAGACGTTCTCCCAAGTGTACTGGCTCTCCTTGCCCTGACGGTAGTGTTCGTTGTACAACCGGGCGACGGCGGCGCGCAGAGGCTTGATACCGGCGGTCGGGCCGTATTCGCGGGCGGCGGAGGTGATGGGGATGCTCGTAGGACGGGGGAAACTGCCTTCAATCTCGTCATCGGCCTCGGGGGCACCCTGTCCTAGGTTTGCCCAGGCAGAGGGATCCTCTGCGTAACCGTGCTCGGTGGCACGTTCTGTGCACCAGACGACACCCGTGGAGGCACGAGAGGCATCGAGACCGGCATGGGGACGGTGACCCTCATGGGCGCTGCGGAATTGCCGGTGGGTTTCCGATCGGAGTTCTGCAAGGGCGAGATCTGTCAGATGGCATGCTCGTAAAAAAATAGCTTCAAGACCATTGTTCCTCAGAAGAATAGCCTTTGTCGTCCACATTGCCCCGCCAAAGCCAATGTGTCATTCCCTCCCCTGTGGTTCCAAGTCCGAGATTGCGGCACAATCGCCGCTCTACAGACTCCACCATTCCGAGGCGCAGAGTGAAGGGGGAAACAACAATCAGAACCAACGTGACGTACCGTTCTCGGACAATTCCTTGCCCAGAGAAAACCGACGGTTTCCCGGGCGCAAGATGCTGACGCGACGGCCGGAGAAAGACATGATGGACTGCTTGGCAGGAGAGGGGTCTAGCGTTATCGACTATATGTACGCACTAAATGTACAGTACAGGGATCGCGGGAAAAAGTCGGTGGCGATTTCTCGACCTTCGATGTCAGAGAGAAACGAAAGTGTAAGCAGGAAAAAAGAATCAAAGCACCAGTGCTGCGTGGTTGCCTTGGAAGTCCTAGACAATGTTAGAGACGATGAGAAGAAGATAAAGAAGAGGAATGAGACGAACAAGAGGTGGAGGGGATGGAATGATAATATAATATAAGGCAACAATAGAAACAATTTGTTAATGGAAATGCAGGAGATGAGAGAAAAAAATAGGAAAAAGGCGGCCTGAGTTGTTTGGGTCGACGAGGCAGAGACAGACTCGAGGGAAGGGAAGGGAAAGGCCTCCAACTGGAGTTGGAGATCCAACTTTCTAACTACAACCAGGCACTCTTTCAGACTTTCAGTCAGTCAATCCCCACCAGCCATCAGCATCATGAAAGCCACAAGCAGCAACTAACTTAGTGACTAGTCCACCGCCATGAACTAACCAACTACTAACCTACTACTAACCTACTCCGTACTTACCCAGCATGTTGGTCATTTTGCTTTGGCCTAGTCAGCGTCCTCCACATCATCCTTTTCCGACGTCGGATGCCGTCATACTATTGGCAGTCCGCCCCCTCGAGACGGTCAATCCCTCCCTCAATCATGTCAAGCATTTCCCCCCCCCCCCCTGAATCGATACAGATGCTCAAATAATCCCGCATGGTCGGGGGAACTCGCTCAGGAGGTCGTGCGCACCTGTTTGATCTTGAAACACGATAAATGCCTCACTACCAAGTTGTCACTATGCATAGTAGCATACAAGAACACGACAAATCATCCAATTCTCCTTTTCTTTCGAAATCCTCCCGTCCAGACCGCATCGATTCCCGTCCCGATCGACGACGGGTGGATGATGGAGTGGGAAAGGAGTGGAATAAAAAGTGGAACACTCGGATGGGACCCGAATTCCCGGTTCTTGTGCAACCCTCAGCCCTGGAAGAGAGACAGACCCAACCGTATATTTACTCCGTAATATCGAACAACCAAAGGAAGAAAGAACTCAGGAGAGAGAGCGTGGGGTGTGGCTTTTGGACAAGTCTCATTGCATCCTGTTGTTTGCCCCTCTTCTCTGAGACTCTGATAGACCTGCCCCTCCCTGCCCAAGCCTCGCTCAACAGCCGCAAGGTCACACAAAGTGACAGGCCCTACGCTAGATTTGTACAGTGTATTCAATCAAGAAGAAGGGAGGAAACAAGTCTATTTCATTACGATTGAGGCACTCCGGCCGTAGTTCCCAACCGTCGTATCCAACCCGCTGTCAGACACGACCCAACGCAACCAAAACACAACAGGCAAGCTTCGAATAAAAATGCAGGAACACTGTACAACTCATCTTTTCGACCCGCAAGCCAGTATGCGTGAAAAGAAATAGCAGTATACATACATCATGCAGTCATGTAGATCAGATCAAACACAGTCATCATCAACATTGCCGCAGAAAAGACATTCCCAGTAAATCGATATGATATGATCCAGCACAATTCCTAAGACACGACTCCATGCAATGGAAACAAGCAGAGCAGCAACCTCGCCAAGGACTTGATCCCCGCAAAGGCGCATGGCATGCAAGAATCAGAGACTTCCCAGAGCCTCAGGGCCAATCCAGTGAACGACGAGGGTCGGAGGGCAACCAGGAGACAGCACCGGCGAATGGCTTGGTAATCGGTGTCTCTTCTCTTTCCAACTCATACAATATAGGTGGTATTGGCAGTAATCGAGAAACACAAGACGAACAGAGGCGAGAAGGGGGAATAAATGAAGAACAAAGCAAGAAAGACAAAGAGCGGTGAAGGAGAAGCTGGTTATGCCAGAGCGTCTGACATTGCTGCGGCTCTGTTGCAGCTCTGGCACACCTAGGTCTCGACTGCCTGGCAGTACAGTTGAATCTCCCCGACTTGGCCCCGGGCGAGCATATCACGCTGCTGCTCCCGCCATTCCAAGAAAGCCAACTGAACCGCTTCGTCGCTGTCAATGGTCACAAAGTCTCCGTCCTCGTCCCGATATCGGAGTCGGACGGATTTGCTCGTTATCGACTTGGTAGTAAATCGAGCCAGTTTGGCGTCTACTCGGTCGATCAGGGAACGGAACATGATGTTGCTTGCAATAACCAACGTAACGTAATTATCATCGAAGTTGACCTTCACCTTAAGCTGTGTGGGCATGAGTGGCTCCTCGTCAGGCTCATAGCTCAGGGGGGAGGTTGGCTGATCGGTAGCTGACGTGTTGGGCCGGTGATCACTATATTGAGGCTCATTGAAATGGGTGGGAGAGACATGTTGCGAGTTGGTAAGGTGGTTGGCGTTTCGAATGGGAAGTTGAGCATTGGAGGTGGGGGAGTTGTTCTGGCTGCGGTTGACTGGCGCCTTCATGCTGGCCATGTGAGCGGGAATAGGTGGGACAGGAACAGTCTCCATCGACTGCATATACCGACGGAGCTCGGCGTTGTGGATATCGGGACTACTAGCCGACCGCATCCGCTGTGCCATGCCATTAGCTGCCTGGGCGGAACCTCCTGACATGGGAGGTAGCGAGGGACGCTGAGCACTTCGTCCATTCGACGCGCCGTTGAAATAGGGGTTGGAGTTGGGACCATCCCTAGACGTAGCTCGAGACAAGGCAGGGGCCGTGTAGCGAGGGTGGTCTTCGCTCCAGTTGTTGGTAGGCGTGGCCTGTCGGCTGCTAAAGTAGCCGGTAGACTGCGAACTGGACCTGGTCGATGGGGTTTCGGCAACCGGGGAGAAATAAGAGTTGGCGTTCCGTTCAGCTGGTGACATACTGCCACCGGGGAACTGCGTATGTACCGAAAGACTGGGATCAGGCACAGGAAAGCGAGGCGGGCGACCAACTGGACCAGAGCTGCCACTGCCGCCTGTTGCTGAACGAGTCCGGAGACTCGTGCTTGAGGCGTTCCGACTCATGGGAAACTCGGAGAAGAAAGCAGCTTCCTTGGTTGCAGCCTGCTCTTCGTCATACTCCTGCTGGTAGGGATTGGGCATGTTGGCCATGGACTTCATGTACGTGAATTCAGTTTCGGATGTGCTGGTATTGCGGGCGCTGCGCTGTTCCGCTTGGATTGCTCGCTGTGCTTCGATGTCCCTGCTCCATTTGCGCATGACATCCTCGTTCTGATAGCGAATGATAAAGTTATCGACGACACCTGGATCGCCCTTCCAGAAGATCTGGATTCGATAGGATCCTGCCGTGAAGCGATGTCAGAAACATGGCTATATAATTGCATCATGGACGTCCTCGGGCATATGACCAGAGGTCTAACAAAGACAGATGGGATGTTTAGAAAGATAGAACCATACCTGGCTTCGGCATACACAGGACATCCGTCACATTGGCCATATAAATGCGGCCTTTGAGCTGAAGGCGTGGTTTGCCCTTGCCAGTCGTGGCAGGTTTGTCCTTTCCGACCATCAACTTTGTCTTCTGCTTGTTAGGGTTGATATCCTTGCAGCATAGTAGAATCCGCTCGAAGAGGTATATATGATACTAGATAGTGCGAAGGAAATCCCCGAAGTCAGCCTGTGGATCTCAAGGCTTTGAAGCGACTGAATCCACGCTGGATTCCTCTAATAGGAACGAGGCGATTTGCGTGTATACTAACCTCTCTTTCGGAATCCTTTCCGTTGTCACCTTTGATGACGGAGAACGTGCCGAATCGTAACAGATCTCCGAAGGCATCTATTTTCAGTGCCTTCCAATCATCAACGCGGTCATCCAAGTCTTTAACCGCTGTCTGCAGGTGTTCCTTATCAATCGCATCATTGGCCGAGTCCAAAACCGACTGGATGGCATCGATTGCCCGCTGGATGTCGTTCTGGAGATCGGGGTTCTCCATCTGCTTGCCGAGCTCCTGTGGGACGGTTAGCGGTATGAATAAGGATAAGATTCATCTGTAGTCCCCTATAAGGATCCATACCTTGAGCATTAAAGGGTACTTCGTCAGGCGCTGGAAAGGTTTGACGAAAAAGCCGTTCAGCGTTGCGGGTTGCGCCACCATTTGTTGCAAGTCGAGGGATCGCGGCGCCACGCGGATCTTATCCCATTCTCTCAGACAGACCTCATCACATCTCAACTGGTTTGCGATAAAGGGCTCGTATTGCTTGAATGCCTCTTCGTGTTGTGTGAATAGTTCACCCCAGTTCTGTCGCTCTTCTGGCAAGGCGTAGTGCTGCTCGATCCGAATCAAAAATCGCTGTGCGAAATCGAGGAGATTATTCAGGTTCAAGAAGATTTGATGGCTATGATCTCCTGTTAGGGCGCCGGTTTCTTCCAACTCCTTCTTCAAGGCTTGGAGGTTCTGCAAGTGGTGGACATAATCGCGCTCCGTTTCGAGCAACTCCTTGAGAATGTGTTCTCGCTTTGTCAGCTTCACGGCGCCTTTCACCGGAGCGCGTGCTGCCTCGTCCGACGGTCGCTTCAACTGCCCCTGCATCTCCAGGATGTCCAGAACGCGATTCACCATCTTGATCACTTTGAGAAAGCCGGTGGTATTTTCCCCATATAAATCGGTGATTAGGAAGCAATCCTGTTGAGGAAACGCTAGTTCCTGCAGCGAGGCCTGCAGAAACTTGAAGGTGGCGGCTTTGGGTCGTTTGGCCTCGGGCACCTTGGCGGGATCAATCTCCAGATTCTCATCTGGGCCCGAAGCGTTGTAGATGGCCAGGAGGGGGTATCCATTCCGCAAACAATTCCACAGCGAGGCCACGGGATCGGTGTTGCCTTGCACGAGGTCCGCCTCCTCCATCTCTTGCAAATGAGGTTCGAAGTTGGGCACCTCTGCTAACCGCTTCTTGAGATTGACGCAGCTCTGGTATATAGATTCACCGCCGCGGCGGTTGATAATGTTGTCCTCGGCGATAGGACCGCCATTTGAGATGACGGTCTCGGCCATCGCGTATTGAGGCCGACTGGGACCGGGTTGGGGGAGGGGGAGAGGTGGAGGGGGTAGTCGAATCTGCGCAGCAGATTAAGGGCAGGCGGGCGTGGACGGGAGCGACAGGCGTGGTTGCACAGGGAACAGCAAGAGGAGCATGGATCAATGAAGGCGAGCCGGTGGACCGATGCGGGATGAATGGGAACAAGCGAGCAGCTAGGGAAACTTAGAGTGGAGATAGTGGTACGGTTCACTATCCCTAAGTGAGTCAGTCAGTTTATCCGCAAGCTGGTCTTCCGTGTCTCGACTCAGGAGCCGATCGGGGATAGATAAGTACCTCTTGAACGAGAAAGAAAAGTCGCGCGGGGAGGCGATCACGACAGAACGAAATCTCTCCTTGTAATCTTTTAATAGGTTGGGGTTTCTTTCTTTAGCGCGGCGAAGGGTGCCAGGCTTAAATCTCCGGCCCTTGCTGAAGACAGCGCCCCTCCTTTTTCTTCTTTAACTTTTTTCCCCTTTAGTCGAGTAAAATGCAGATGTAAAAGATCGAAGGCCGCGAAGGTAAGCCAAAGGGGAGAATTATATTGTTGGAAGAACAATTCAAAAAAGAGAGAGGGCGGGTGTGGGGTTTGCCGCTGCAGCCAGATAGGCAAGCGCAGGTGGACTTTTGGAGGGGAGGGAGAGGTGTGGTAGAACGGGAGGGAGGGATGGAGGGATGGAGACAAGAGTTGTGCTTCTGATTGTGGTTACAATGGGGGGAGGGGGGGGGAAGGGGAAGCCGAGAAGAGAGGGGAAGAGAGACGGAGAAGGGAAAGGCAGAATGGATCAGTCAGTCGTCGGGTTTGCCCCTCAACCAAGCGAGCTGGAGTTGGGGTCGAGGCAGATTAGAGAATAGTGGTAGTTGTCTTGTAGTGTTACAGCCGCGCCGGGAGGCAAAGAAACACAAAAGATTAAAGCAAAGGGAGTCCCAATGCACGAGGTCAATGACAAATTCAATCTAAAGGAAGGGAAATGAAGCAGAAGAGTAACAAGTAGAGATGAGAAAGAGAAAGAGGGGGGGGGGGAGGGAGGGTGGAAAAGAATCCCGCGGCGGAAGAAAGAAAAAAGGAGGGAGACTGATAAGTTTGGGTGTAGAAAGAGAGAGAGAGAGAGAAAGTATGAGAAGGACGAGAGGCAAAAGGAGAGCAGTGGTCAAGTGAACGGAAGAATTTACCTGGTAGTAGCTAGCTGCGCGCGTCAGCTCCCCCCCGACGCAGGAGATCCAAGTATTGTAGATCGATCGATAGCTGTAGATTATAAAAGAAAGGGGGAAGAACAGACCGGAAGAATAAAGAGGTGTGGGAGATTGGCAGAGAATCGACACCAAGAGAGAAAGAGAGGGAGGGAGGAGGAGGGGGCAAAATACTTGAAGGAGGGAGGAAAGAAAGATGAAGTAGACAGACTAGGTGTAGAAGTAAAAGTTGTAGATGATGGATGATCTCCGCAGGGAATCATCCGCCTGCATTTTTCTACGCGCCTCTATTTCTGATGGTTCCACCCAGGCGGATTGGAAAGCATGAAGCCCAAAGGATGGATTGCTGCATGAAGAAAACCTTCTCTCATACACCAACAGTTTGGGATTGAACAAGGGTATCATCTTCACATACTCGAGCATGGCTCGATGCTGACCGACTATCAAGGAGAATGCCACCCAAGACATACCATAACCTGACAGCCTCGTAGGGTAAGCAGCCGTTGTGAATGCCATTCTGTCTTACTTACTGATTATAATCTTTCTTTGATTGTAAATCAAGATGATGGATCTTCATGTGCTTCAATCTCACATCCCGTGTTCCTTACAGGGCTATTTGTTTTGCATCCCGTCCGCTAACTTACCCGGTACTCTCCTTACTGTATCCACAGGGGCAACAGTCAACCTCAGTAAGATGAAACAGGGACATTGACAGTGCAGTGAGTGCAGTGCAGTGCAGTATATTTCACGGTAGTTATACTCTTGTTGAAGGGGATGTACTCCGTACATGTACTTCCAAGCCAGCCAATGTGCAGTGAAGGCGGAGTGGATCTTCGGCAACCCGCACCGTAACCCAATCGAGTCAATCTGACGTGACGAGGTCACTTTCCCGTTTACTGCCTGACTCTACCGTTCTGTCTCAGTCTCTAGTCTCTCTCTCTCTCTCCTCTTCCTTTGCTACTACAGGACATCACTTCAACAACTCCCCAATACGCCGTCATCCTCGAACCTATCCACTAAACCCATTCTCTCCTCCCCCGAACTACCTCCGAACTCAGGGGTTTTTCTTGGGTTTTTCTTTCACAACTTCACACCCTCTCTCTTCTTAGCCGACCTTCTCACTCTTCCCGGCCCCCCTCCATCCCTTTCCATGTGGTGTTTGCAATACCCGATCTAGCTCCTTTCGCGACCACTGGCTGTTCTCCAGCCCATCGATTTACTTGAAACAAAGTCGGATGCAGGATTATCTATTCTCTGCTGTAAAGGAAACGGGAAAATCAGACACTGTGCGAGGAATCCCTGCAAGGTAGTGTGTCCTCATGGCTCGCAAGTCCTCGGGGTCCGCTTCTAGCCCTCGTCTTCCTCCGCTCCAACCTGCCGCCAACCACACCTCCGACTTCACCGCCGCCGACACCCCCTCGCTGTCGACGCCCTTCAAGCTCGACGAGGGTTACTCCGATGAGACGAAAACTCAAGTCGAAAAGAAGGACCTGGCGATTCCCGCGTCAGATGAGTGGATGACGCTCCAAGAGTGGGTTCTCACGCACAGCGAGGCGGAAAGAGCTGGTAGGTTTAGCAACGGACTCTTCCCGTTTCCCCGACCCGCAGGATGCCTTACCACCGTACTGGGGCCGTGGCGATCACCTTCCATTCCCATACTAATCAATCGTGAATGTCATGATGCAGAGCTGGCCTATAACCTTCTTCGCACCATGCGCGCATCCACCGTGGCCTCCGTGATCGAGCGCCTGGCGCCGCGCCTGCACTTGGATCCGGTACTGAAACTCCCGCCCGAGATCACCTCCGAGATCTTCTCCTACCTCGACCCACAAACACTGCTGATGGCTTCCCTGGCCTCCCGTGCCTGGCGCAATCGCATTTCGGACTCGCGCCTGTGGAAAGACCTCTACATCAACGAAGGCTGGAGGGTGGATATGGACGCTGTCCGCACGTTTGAGCAGGAATACTCGGGACTTTCATCGCCACAGTTACGGAAATCCCGCTCGAGGCATACCGACCCGGATAGTGGGGAGCCGAAGCAGAAGAAGCGGGTACCACCTAGCTGGTTGAACTCACGGACAACTGGATCGCTCGGTCGGAAAACGAGGCCGGAAAACGGGCAAAGGCATGCTGCGCAGGAGGCAGATAGTGAAGGCGACCTTCCCATGGGAGATGTGTCCACCGAGAGGAGGACGTTGTTCTCTCCGGAAGAGCAAACGACAAGCCCGAGCAAACGGCGTGAATCTCACCCCGGATCGACTCAGCTCAAACTCGGTGGACATGGATTGTCAGCAGCTACGCGCCGTCCAAATTCATCGCTTCTGATCCGGATGCCCAATGGCGCGGCCAAAGTCAACTGGCTCCACCTCTACAGGCTACGAAGAAAGCTGGAAGAAAACTGGGCCAAAGGCCGTTTCACAAACTTTCAACTACCACATCCGGCACACATGGAAGAGGCCCACCAGGAGTGCGTCTACGCGATCCAATTCACCGGCAAATGGTTGGTCAGTGGCAGTCGGGACAAAACCCTAAGAGTCTGGGATCTAGACACGAAGCGCCTGTGGCACCCACCTCTGCTGGGCCATACAAAGTCGGTCCTTTGCCTACAGTTCGATCCTCGTCCCTCGGAGGATATCATCATCTCGGGCAGCAGCGACAAAAGCGTCATCATCTGGCGATTCTCCACCGGCGAGAAGCTCCATGAGATCGCAGCCGCCCATGATGATTCCGTCTTGAATCTTCGCTTCGACGAGCGGTATATTGTCACCTGCTCCAAGGACACGCTCATCAAGGTCTGGAGCCGACACCAGCTCTCCCCAGCCGACAAGGACTACCCTAGCATGTTCTTCGGCACCGGTGTAACCTATCCGTCCTACATAATCGATACGGCGGAGATGCCCTCCCCGATGCTGGAAGCCGAGCTCGCCAACGGCCACATCCGGAGTCTCGCCCCGTTCTCCCTCCTGATGACCATAGACGGCCACACCGCCGCCGTGAATGCCATCCAGCTCAACGAGGACGAGATCGTCTCCGCGTCGGGGGACCGGCTGATCAAGGTCTGGAACCTCCGCAACGGCGCCTGCAAGAAAATCGTCATCGGCCACGAGAAGGGCATCGCCTGCGTGCAGGTCGACAACCGCCGGATCATCAGCGGGAGCAACGACGACACCGTCCGGATCTTCGACCACGCCTCCGGCGCCGAAGTCGCCTGCCTCCACGGCCACGGCAATCTGGTCCGGACCGTCCAAGCCGGCTTCGGCGACCCGCCCGGCGCGGAGGAGACTCTCCGCCTCGAAGCCCTCGCCGTCGACAACGCTTTCCGCGACGCGCAGCGCTCGGGGGCCAGCGTCGACCTCGGGCCCCGCGCCCTCCGCCGCGCCGGCTACACGCAGAACACCACCGGCTCCCGCGACCCCCGGGACATCAAGGCCCTGGGCGCGAAGATCCCCCCCGGCGGCGGCGGCAGCCGGTGGGCGCGCATCGTCTCCGGCTCCTACGACGAGTCCATCATCATCTGGAAGAAATGCAAGGAAGGCCGCTGGGTGGTCGGCCAGCGCCTGCGACAGGAGGACGCAGCTACCAGCGCCGCCTACGTGGTCTCCGACCCGGCCGCCCGCGCTGCTACCGCTCGATCGAACGCTTTCGCCCAGCAGCAACACCTCCAAAACCCTGGCGCAGCAGCAACACAGGGCCAACAAGCCCCCACAGCCCCAGCCCCAGCCTCAACCTCAGCATCCCAAGCACCCCAAGCAGGAGGAGGAGGAGGACCCCTCCAAACCCTCCAAGCCCTAACAGCCCGCCTAGCCGGCCAACCCCAGCAGCAACCGCAACCGCAAGCAAACCCAACGCCCAGAGCCCAGCCTCAACAAACCCAGCCCCAGCCCCCCATGAACGGCATCATCAACCCAGCCCTCCACCAACCTCCCCATCTCCCAGCACAACAACAACAACAACAACAACAACAACAACAAACCCACCCCCGCCCGCGCCACCACCCGCGCCACGACCGCGACGCAAGCGTCGTCCCCACCTCGCGCGTCTTCAAGCTCCAATTCGACGCCCACAAGATCATCTGCTCGAGTCAGGACCCGCGCATCGTCGGCTGGGACTTTGTCGGCGACGACGAGGAGCTGCGCGAGGCCTGTCGGTTCTTCATGTGTCTGTGATCCATTCACCTTCTTCTTGTGAAAGGGGTGGATAGTCGATATGGTAGTCACACTGCGTGCGGGTCTGGTAGGGCTTTTAGAGGGATGGGATGATCCGAAGGAGCAACGTACCTTACCTCTTACCTTACCTGGTGCTTTCCCGGACAAAAGCAAACGGATCGCCGCGGTTTGTCGTTCTGCTTGCTTGCATATCATTGCTTGGGTCTGGGTCTGACTCTCTGACTTGGCAAGTACAGTACATCTAGTACGGTACCAACCCATCCTCGCGCGCTAGGCTTGTTTTCTATCTCCTCAATTCTCCACCTCGCTATCTCATCGATTCGGGGTGCTCCGATTGAGAACAGTGGGAAGCGCGGTAGTTCTTCTCTCTCTTTTCTCCATTCGGCATGTATCACTCATAGCGTGGTCGCTTATGTCCTTTTTTCCCTTTCGTGTTTTTCTTTTCCGTGTTAAACCATTCATTCAAAGCATTCGCGGGGCATTATTGGAGCGATGGAGTTGGAGTTCTGATCTGGGGCTCGTTTATTTCATGACGGTAACCTCTGATACTTGGTTTGCATTACACATACTTCTTACTCCCTCCAATTCTTTTTTTTTGTGGTTTTGCCAGACAACCATGACATGAGATTAATGATAGCGGTTGGTATTGCACCTTTTTAGCGATATGTACGTTCTCCACACAAACACACTGCATCACATTAAAGCTAGCCTGAACAGCCATTTGAACTACACCACGGATTAACTTCCACTAGCAAGATGGACATAGCATGTAGCCTTACTAGAGGATATCTGCCACGATCCCTGAAAAGGCAGCTGCTTTTGAGCATCCTACCCCCCCACAACATCTAGTCGACGGATATCAATCCAGAATCCGACCGATGGTACCGACATTCCGCAAGGCATATTCGTGAAATGACTTCCATGCTTCCGAGAACCATTGTATTGGACGCGGAGGTGAATTTGGAGCTTCAGCCGCGGCCTCGTCTTCTCGATTCGGCTCTACGGCGATGTCGTTCGATGGATGGCTCCGGGCGGTTTCATATGTCTCACGCGAAGATGTACTAGAGTAGACGGCAGAATCTGGATCATTTCCGGTACCCAAGCAACAGGAGAGACAGGAATGACCTATTGATAGCAACTTCAGCCACGAGCCAGACGGATTGTAGGCTGAAGCGCAGGGATCTGGTCGGGCGGACGTCGTGGGTGATTCCGTAGGGATAAGCGAGCATGCAACCGGCTCTTGTGGTGCTATCTCGCACGCCAGATCATTCACAGTGCTCAAATGCTGTCTCGAAGGCGCAGGCTTGAATAGCTGAGATGCGCATGTATAGAACGACTCCACCCTGCCCGTTGTATAACGGGTATTCGCCGAGCCAGGCCTCTGCAGGCAGTCAAGGGCAGGCAGGCGAGACACTGAAGAGAAGCGACCACGGGCCGAGTGATGACTCGCAACGGGGCCAACATATGTAGGGGTCATGCGCCACGGAACTTCTCGCGGGGGGCTGCTGCTCTGCTCTCTCTTGGGCTTCCTGTCTTGAGTGGGGCTGCTGAGATCGGGGGTGTTCTCCAAAGCAGGCGAAAGCGCCCTCTGGTGGAAAGTATGATCCTCCATTCGCCTGACCACACCAACGCCATGCCCGCTCTGCCGGTAAGGGAACCGACCCTGCACCGCCGTACCATCCTCCGCTCGTGCCACAGTAGGTGCTTGCCGTTGCGGCTGAGGAGGAGTGGTAGAGGTGAAGCTGAATACCCTTCGGATCTTGTCTCCATACGACGCCGTTCTCGTGCGCCCAGATGCACCACCACCATTATAGAACCTACTCGACGAGCCGCTCGCTGCCTGCTGATTTTGACCATCACCCACTGTGGCCGAGCGAACCTGGAACTGAGAAGAATAGTTCACAGCTTCGGGGGTGCCGAAGGTCGGCAGACCAGGCGGAGTGGGAGACCTTACGGGCGGTGGAAACGCAGGATATACAGGATTGGCGGGACAGTCCTGCTCAAGCCAGTGGGATGACTTTGACGCCTCGTCCGTATCATTGAGGCTGGTGGTGGGTTTGGGAAGGTGCAGGACGTCGACGAGGTTCGGTTTTAGCGACTCGTCCTGGGGCGCTGCGACGATTGCTCGGCCTTCGTTGACGGACGAGATGCGACTGTTGTTGGCAGTGTAAGTATGCCAGCCCGGGGACGAAGTTTCTTGTTCCCTGAGATATCGAGGTTGTCGGCATGATTGTTGTTGTTGCTGCGGTTGGCGTGAACGCCCCGTGTCCTGCGCAGTCGGAGGAGGAGGGAAGGTCGTTGTGTGGGCTACTAGCCTGCTATCCAGATCTCGGTGTATTTGCCTAGCTGAGCCTTGTCGATACGAAACCTCATCCGAGCTCGAATATGCCCTGATGGCGTCGAAAATATAACTCTCCTCACTAGGAATAGAGTCCGCGAATTCCAGGTGGGAGTAACGCGCCATGCTAACAGCAGCTGCTCGTCCGGATGAGAGGACCTCGTCGTTGCCAGGCAAAGCACTCTGAGGTCCCTGCCCTTGATCCTGGAGAACCATACTGCACAGAAAGTAAAAGTAGGCATTCGTCTGATTAGGTCCGAGCAAAAGAAAGAGGGCATGACGTTGAGAAGGTGATCGAAACTGGAAGAGATGCAAGTCTAAATAAGGCTATTGCGTTTTCCCATTTATAAAAGGAAGTCGCGACAGGAGCAGAGGGAATAGAGGAAAGGTTGACAATCACAGTCAACTCATTGTATGCTTAATGTATGCAAGGCTCGCTGATAGACTCTAATCTATATACACAGACAAATCAAGTACCGAGAAATGGCCGGGAAATTAGTACATCAAGATCGGGTTGAATATACAGGCAGAGATTAGGAGGGTGCCTAAATTATGTACGGGGAAAAGGAATACCAACAATAAGCCGAGGAATCCGCTGGAAGCGATTGATCGGGCTTGATGCAAAGAGAAATGAAACATAGGGAAGGATCGTGATCATCAGGCAGTGACGACTGGCGGACTCAAGGGAGGCTTGCCAGTCAAGGTCGCAATATCCTTGTTCAGATTTCGGATTTGAGCCTCCAGCCGACGGCGTTCGTCGTGTTCCGCCTATGTATGATGCTGTCAGCTAGAAAGCACATGGAAGAGAGGATTGTGCCATTACATACCTTGCGTATCTTCAGGTTCTCGGACCGCGTGTCTCGCATCATCTTCTTGAATTCGTTCTTGAGCACCATGGTGGAAGTGGTCTCATGGCCATCGCGTCCGCTGCCCATCCAGTTGATTCGTTCTTCATTGAGCTGCGTCTCCAGTTGCTCACAACGGTCACGCAGAGTATCAATGACTCCCTCGAACTGCTCGCGTTCTTTTTCGAACTCAATGCTGGCCTTGGTCATTACTTCGTAATCGTCCACCGTATCTCGGAGCTCTCTCTCCAGCAACTCCACCCGATGCTGGAGATCACCACCAGGCTTGCCCGCCTTGAGGGCTGCAAGCTCTTCGGCCAGCTCCAGGTTTCGCGTGTTCAGCTCGTCAAACTCCTTCTGGATGGCAGGATTCGCTGCGATGTCGGCCGCTCGCTGGGCTCGCGACCCATAGGCACCGTCCAGCTCCGCCTTGGCCATCGTTAGCTCGGTCTGGGCACGGACGACTTCACCCTCCATCTCTCTCAACTCAGCCTGCAGACGTGAGGTGTTGTTTTCTGCTTCAGCGCGCGCCACGGTCACTTCCGTGACGCGAGACTCCAGAGCTTCGACGTCGGCACGGAGCTGGCCTATAACGGTCTCTAGCCGTGCCACCTCGGTTTCTGCGTTGATGCGTGCATCTGTAGCCTCTTTCAGCTGAGATTCTACGCTGGCGCGGAATTGACCCATGGATTCTTCCAACCGAGCAACCTCACTCTCGGCTCGTGCTCGGGCGTCGACGGCCTCCTTGACTTGAGCATCTGCCTCGTTGCGGGTCTGCTGGAGCGTAGTTTGTAATTCCAAGATCTGCTGCTCGGCGTGCTGGCGAGATTCCGTGGCCTCCGCTTGGTTATTTGCCGTACTCTGAAGTTCATCGACAATCTCTTGAAGACGCGTGAGTTCACCATCGGTCTTTGAGCGCAAGGCAGTCAACTCCTCCGTGTGAGCGTCGGCTTGTGATTGGAGCTGTTCCTGATGAGCTTCTGTAAGCGCTCTGCTCTTGGATTCGGCTTCCTCCCAATGTTGATCGAGCACTGCTTGTAACCGAGTGGCTTCACTCTGATGCTGCTCAAGCGCCGCCTGCAACTGGGTAGCCTCGCTCTGATGTTGGTCAAGGGCCGCCTGCAACCGTGTTATTTCACTCTCCGCCGCGGAACGTGCAGTGGTGAGCTCTTCAAGGCGAGCTTCATGGTGGGATTGGATTTCTCCAATGTGGGCTTCCAGACGAGCGACCTCACTCTCGGCTTGCGCACGGGCCTCATGAGCCTGAGCCTGAGCATCCTGTTCCCTCTTGAGATCTTCCAGAACCTTTTCCAGGCGTTCAACCTCGACTTCGGCGCGCGCACGAGCTTCCTGCTCCGTGCTCAAAGCCTTGGAGGTATCCTCCATGACGTGCTGTTCTTGATGGTCTGCCAGCTCTTTTTGCAGGGTTGTTACTTGTTTCATCGCGTCTTCCAGATCATCTCTTGTGCGTTGGCCCTCGTTCTCGGAGAATTCGAGGTCCCTCCGGACATGCGCCAGTTGTTGCATTAGGTCCGCGATGTGTGCATCTCTCTCCGCGTCGGACTTGGAGTTCAATTCGCGCTGCTGTTGAATTTGAGTGGTCAAGATGCTCTTTTGCTCGAAGAGCTTCTCAAGTCGGTCTTCCAGCCCAGTGAGGCCGGCATGGAGGTAGGAGAGATGTTCCGTCTGGTCTGCGCTGGCAGAGTCGGGCGGCGGAGGAAGAGTCTGGGCGCCCGGTATGCCCGATTGCTGGACAATCTGATGTAGTCGCGCGTTGAGCTCGCCGAGCTGCTGCCCGGAGTCATCATCCAAAGACCGTGTCTGAGACTGGCTGCCTGCGGGGTGCGCACTGAGACTTTCGAGGCCATTCTCGATGTAGGCTACGTATGCTTCCATCGCTGCCGTCGGGGTAGCTCCTGGGGGCGGCTGCGGAACGGGCTCGAGCTCACCAGCAGGATTGGACTGTAGGATCAAGTCATACATCCTCCCACTTAGATACTCCAATCGTTTCTCAGTATCCTGAACAGCCTCCAACCCAAGTCCATGCAGCCCCTGTCCGGTGTGCTCTTCCAGATGACCCGACGGTTTGTAGAAACTTCGATCATCAAACCCATCAATACTATCCCGGGTATTATGGCTAGACAGACTCTCCGGGGTGTGGGGCACATTATTCTTGAGGTTCTTCTTCAAGCCCTTGTGCGTCATCTGCAGGATCCCAGCCGTGTGCTCCAGCAACCGGCTATTGACCTGCTGCAACCGGCGCTCCAGGTCCCAGATCTCCTGCGACAGCTCTTCGCACTTGCGGGTGCTCAGCGCCAGCTCTTCGTCCGTCTTGTCCATGGTGGTCTCATTGTGTCCGAGCAGGCTCCGTTGGGACCTCGGGGAGGAGGCTTCGGGGTCCTCCCGGCCGTTGAAGGAGGGGCTCTTGGGCGTGTACAGCCGGCTCAGCGACATGGCGGCATCGCGCAATTTCGTCTCCAATGCCAGTTTGCGTTTCGCAGCGTTTAAGCGACTGTTGACGAACTTCTGCTCCTTCTTCAATCCTTCCACTTCCTCCAGCGACAGGATCTCGTAGTGGGTGCTGTCGCTCATGGCGGTCTCCGTGAGCAAATACATGGCGACGGGGTCATGGGTGTGGAGCGCGGCGGAGTTGCGGGGAAGATTCGTGTTCAGCTGCAGGGGCACATAAGGGAATAAGTATGCGATTGGGTTCAAGTCTTGAGAATCAGGGGTCTCACGAACCGGGTTGACTTGCGACTTGCCCAGTGGCTGCTGGGGTCCGGACGCATCGCGGTAGCCGTTCATCAGCCCTCCGGTTGGGGGCGGTTGCGAAGCGCCGTAGGAGGCTGAGTGCCTGGGGTCGCCGTACGAGGACATGCTAGACCTGACATCGAGGCCGTTCATGGTGGTAATGTGTTACGAATTTCGAAGAAGGTCGGGGAGAGGGACTTGAGGAGCAGGTCGGGGTGTTTAAATTGGAGACTCGCGGATCAACAGGCAAGGCCCATCGTCCGCAGTGGCAGCCGTGGACACCGTCCCCCCAAGGCAGAGAAGGGAGGGAGGGGTTCGTTTGAAGATTAAAAGAATGAAGGGAAAATAGAAAATAGATAATATCAAGGTAAGGGAGAGACAAACGCTCAATACGACTTGATTAATTGGTACAAGGAAGGGAGATGGAGGGGGGAGAAGAGGGAGCGGAGGGAGAGAGGGAGAGAGAGAGAAAGGGACTGGAAGAAGAATACTAAAAGATCAGCACCAGCCGACCGGAGCATACAAGAAAAGAACTAAACCGATCACCACTTAGTGGGACTGCATCTGAGTTATTTAAACTACCCAAGCTGTGATCGGTCAGGAAGGTGCAGGTGCAGAGATGGGATGGATGGCTCCGATGCGATCGCTCTTCTTCACAGTTGACGCCATCCATCCTCCTCGACAGCTCTCATTCCGTTGTCCCCCTTTGGGGGATCCCTTCTTCACTTCCTCCATCCTTCAGGCTCCCATCCCACTTTTTCCTCAGCTGCAGCTGAGACCCCAGCCGCTGTCATGGCAGGAGTTTGACAGGCACCCAGAAAAAAAAAAAGTGGAATGTCCATGAAGAACTCCTCTGGATTGGATTCGATTCGATTTTCTATTATTATACCCCCCCCCGGAATTTCCCCTGAAACAACGGATTCCTCGGTTGAGCTCCACTGCCGCGCATCCTTAATTCTCAACCACATGAACCACATGGAAGAAAGAAGTTCTTGGAAAAGGTGATCGGTGATCGTGAAGAAAGACCGGAGTAGAATGACGCAGCTGCCGGCCGAAGATCTTCTCCTTGAGTCACTCACTCACTCACTCACTCACTCACTCAGCCTTTCGGGATTTTCGGGGGAAATATCGCGCGCAGATTGTGATCAGTTACAATATCACACTCGATGGGATGAACCGAGATTAGACTACAAGTTCAACATTCTTGGCAGTACTGTGTGTGCTCTGGTAATGAACTTGTTGGAAGAGACTCAACTCAATCAGTTCTAGTTCTTTGTCTAACTTGCCTACATCTTTTATAACATGGTTCAACCCACCGAGGCTACCGGCCCACAACTCCATTCAACATAGCACCCATGATAGCATACCCAGGGTTCCAGAATCGGGGAACCAGAACCACGCTCTCAAAATTGGGATGGAGAGGATGTAACAATCATTCTCCAGATGTAACCACAATCAGCCTGACTTCGGCTCAATTGAAACAGCCCAAACCCCCAGAGCCGGTTGATCTGCTTCAACCTGTCTGGATTTGCGCCCGCAAAGGCCGCGTAAATCACAAGCAGCCGAGCATGCGATTTAATATAAAGTAACCGCGTGGAATCAACCACTGCACCAACGAGCCTATCAGCCATTTATCTTTGCTGGGTTTCCCCTCCCCCGGATTTCTCTCTTCCCCTCATTTCACACTTCCTCATTCCATTCGGTTCTTGTGTCCACACGAGATCATGGCCACGAGGAATGTTGAATCTGGAACGGATGCGCTCCCTCCATCGGGACCGGTCTACAAGGTCTACAAGCGACGATTTTGGGGTTTGATCCAGCTGGTGCTATTGAACATCGTCGTCAGTTGGGATGTAAGTTGCAAGTGCAGATATGCAAAAAAAAGAAAACCCGCGCTCTAACATCACGCGACAGTGGTTGACCTTCTCTTCGATCTCGACCACCGCCGCCGAGCACTTTAAGGTCTCGGAGAGCGCCATCAACTGGATGAGCACCGGCTATCTCTTTGCCTTCTGCGCCGCCAGCCCGTAGGTTCACTTCTCATAGTTCATCACCAATTAGCACCAAACAGCACGCACCTAACTCAGGACTCTCCCATCCAGCGTCGTCATCTTTACCCTCAACAAAGGCGGCCCCAAGCCCGCTATCATCATCACCTCCTCTCTGCTGCTGGCCGGCAATTGGATCCGCTATGCCGGCACGCGAGCTCGTGGCGGGATATTCGGGGTGGCCATGTTCGGCCAAATCCTGATCGGCCTGGCGCAGCCATTCTGTCTCAGTGCACCGACGCGGTACAGCGACCTCTGGTTCTCCGATCAGGGACGCACGAGCGCGACGGCCGTGGCGACGCTTGCCAACCCCCTCGGCGCAGCTCTGGGTCAACTCATCGACTCGTTCTGGGCCACCGAGCCCGACGACGTCGCGAACATGGTGCTGTACATCTCGATCATTGTGAGCTTTCCACCCTCTGTCCACCCACCTCATGACCAACACTCACCCACAAACAACAGGCGACAATCGCATCCCTCCCATCCTTCATCCTCCCCTCCGCACCACCGACCCCGCCCAGCGCCTCCTCCGCCAGCCACCAGAACACCAACACAAGCGAACCGACCCCACTCCTCCCAACCGTCACGCAACTCCTGCGCACCCTCGAATTCTACCTCATCCTGATCCCTTTCTCCATCTACGTAGGCTTCTTCAACAGCGTCTCCTCGCTGCTGAACCAGATCCTCAGCCCCTACGGGGCCAGCGAGACCGAAGCCGGGATCGCGGGGGGCATCCTAATCGTCGTGGGCCTGCTGGTCTCGGCGCTCATCTCCCCGATCACCGACCGGTACAAGCACTACCTGGCCACGATCCGCATCCTGGTCCCCATCGTCGCCGCCTCGTACATCGGGCTGATCTTCGCCCCGGCCAGCAGCGCGGGCATCGGCCCCACGTACGCCGTGTGCGCCCTTTTAGGTGCTTCCTCATTCGGCCTGCTGCCCGTCGTGCTCGAGTTCCTCGTCGAGATCACCTACCCGTTCTCCCCGGAGGTCGGGAGCACCCTCTGCTGGACGGGCGGGCAGCTCCTGGGCGCCGTATTCATCCTCGTGCAGGACGCCCTCAAGGCCGGGAAGCACGCCTCCCCGCCGGAGAACATGCGGAACGCGCTCATCTTCTCCGCCGTCGTGGCGGCCGTGGCGGCCCCGCTGCCGCTGTGTATCGGGCTGTTTGGCCGCGACGTGCGCCGCAGGCGGTTGGACGTGGATCGCGGGGTGGATCTGGGGGAGGTCGTCGAGGACGATGATGAGACCATTGACAACGACGCGGACGCGGACGCGATCCGTCGCGGGGATACAGCCGGTAGTGCGGGCGAGAAAGGGAAGTCCAGATTCAAGTGGTCGGTCTCCTCCAGACAATAGCGTTGCAGAAACAGCGGTTGTAGTAGGGGTGCGTATGTGGTTTGCTCGCATTGCTGGGCACAGGCCCTGTCCCTTACACAATCTGTCGCCATGTCCTGACAAATGCCGGTGACTATCACACCCCCACTGATTCTGCAGCCTGGAGTTTGCAGATGGACCGCGAAGAGGTGAACTACGACCCATGATGCATATATGATTAATACCCGACATTGAATGCGAACCCTGGTATATGGATGACCCTGTCAGTCAGTGTATAGGGCTATTTCAGTCTGCGAGCCTGCGATGCTATGCATTTCAATGCCCCAGGGTTTATAACCTACCTTCCAAGAGATAGACCAGTAGACGCCCAGCAAACAATACCCTGACAACGCTAGAGCAGGTCCTTCAAAAATCTAGCGGCCCTGGCTCAGCCGGCCATGGTTTCGCCAAGTTCCCTTCTGACTAGGTGGGCGTGCACGGAGCAAAAGCGCCCGCTATTTGTCCGGCGTAGCAGAGCTGATATTCGATCCCGACTGGGTGGATGCTGACCTGGATGGCTTGCAAGTGCATTGCGGTGAAAAGAGATAATGCTTCAGGCTGCCAAGGAGTCATCAGTGGTAATGACTGCGGCGTTGAGCGGCGAAGAGACAGGGCGCAATGTCAGCGGAGGTGGATGGACAACACAGCAAGAGGTAGACCGAACAGACACGTCCTGCCCGCAGGGCCATCAAATACACAAACCCAATCTAGAAAGAACAATTCACATTCATCTAAAAACAAAAGAGACCAAGTAAATAATAAAAGCACAGTTCAAACAGGCAGAGACCAGCTATCTGTACATACACAGTAAAGGGATTCTTGATCCAAATCCCTTTTTCCCTTCCTCCCCAGCTCACAATAAGACGAAAAGAACAGGAAAAGAGGTAGGTTTCACCCCTTCTATTCGTGTTCATCTATCCATGTAGCAGATGAAAAAACAACAAATATCTCCAAACCCTGTCGTTTCAGTGGCAGGGTTGACAGACACCATTTTTTTCCCTCACGCTGGAACAACAAAAATCAAAGCCATCATACAACACTCTAGACCTGAAACGGAAACGGTTGTCTTTCTCGGGTACGCGATCGGTCTCCCCTAATTCGTCCCCGCGCAGGGGTTTCATTCCGTCGTTGTTATACAATCGAGACTGAGCTTAGCGGTGGTCATGACAACTTTCGAAAAGACACATCGCGCGGCGGAGGGGAAAGAGGGGCTAATCGTTGCGTGCGCAAGGCGTAGCCCGTTTAGGCGAGCTGCTTCCAGAGCTTGGGGGCGGCGCACTGGGTAGCGCAGTGCGTGAGGTGGAAGACTGTTGGTTGAAAAGATGATTAGTCACACGCGAACAACCAGCGGCCATTTGGGGGTGCCTTCGGAAACAGGAAAGACAGATAGACGTACACTCCTCAACGCAGTCCTCCTTGGGACCCTTGTAGTCCTCATCCTCCTCCTGCTTGGTTACGCGCTCGATGCACTCATCGAAGTGGTGCTTGTAGGGGGCGCACTGGGCGGACTTGGCGCACTCTGCAGTTTGGGGTCATAAAGGTCAGCGAACCTGTCCAATTGAGTCTGAGACAAGCATGGAGTTGCGCGAGTTTGATGCAGCGCCAATGACGCTGAATCAGCGGATGTTGTGTTGGTCGATTCCCCTCAGGAAAACTGGCGGGCGGCAGGAATTGGGTGGTTGTCTGATATGTCAAGGACAAGCCATTGCCGCGGCGGGAAATCCAGAGTTGATCCAACATCGAGCTTCAACGCAAACAAAATGCAAAAAAACAAGTCGATCCAAGGATAATTAAACTCACCCTCCTCGAGCTTGGGCTTGATGTCCTCGGGCTCCTCCTCCTCTTCCTCCTCTTCTTCTTCCTCCTCTTCCTCCTCCTGGGGCTCCTCCTCCTCGGAAGACTCCTCAGCGGGGGTCTCCTCGGCGGACTCCTCGGTGGACTCTTCGCTGGAAGCGGCAGCCTCCTCAGCGGGCTTCTCCTCGGAAGACTCAGCCTCCTGGCTGCTGGTCTCCTCGACGGACTCGGCGGGAGCCTCAGCCTGAGCCTCGGGGAAGCCGAAGGAGGAGATGACGTCGGAGAAGAAGTCGGCAAGACCCATTGTGTTCGTGTGGGGAGGGAGGAAACTGGTCAATTGATGACTACCGGGGAGAGCCTAGGGTTGGCGAAGCTGTGGGGGTGGTGGTGGTGGTGGTGGTGCGGTGGGCAGCAACGAGCGAGTTTGGATGAGGTTGGCGGTTTTGAGCTTTGGCACTTCCTTTGCCGTCTGGGAAAATCGGAACGCCCCGGCCGCCGGCGAAAGGCCAATTATCGCACCCATGATTGGCCGATCCTTGTCGGAAGGGAGATGACTAATCGCTGAACTACAGAATGGAATTACCCATACTCATGAAAACCAAAAGATAGTACACAAGCTATCTGGAATTGGTTGTTCCTTTTTCTCTTCTTTTCTCATATGCACGACTGTAAGCCTTCATCAACTGGTCCGGCGCAGTCTTGCCTCTAATTCATCCGCCACGCTTTGCTGCTGGACCGTCTCATAGTCCGGCGGTGGTTCCACCATGGAATCCGTCTCTGCTGCATGAGACTGACTCTGTGGACTCATGCATTGGTCCTGGCTGGCTTGACCTCCCCCAGCACCATTGTCCGAGGGGCCAGAATAGGCTGGCAGCTCGTCCAAATGAATTGTGGAGAGGTCAACGTTCCTGGCTCCGCGACTGCTTGCTTGCGAGTTCTCGACCGCCTGCTGTAGACGCTCCTTGATTCGTTCGAAATGATTATGGAAGTCGAATGCGCCTCCTTCTTTGAAAGTCACCTTGACCTGTACTGCAGGCAAGGATGGAGGAATCCCGCCTCCCGACACGGGCTGGACCAGGGCGATCCAGGCATTTGGCCCAAAGAACGGAGCAGTGACGTGGGTATCATGAACATTTAGCAGCGGCGCAGAGAACGACTGAAATGTCTGCGATTTCTGTGTCGGGATATAGACAACCTGCCCAACTTATGTCAACCAAGAATCCCAGACCAGACCCCTGCAGGGTAAGTGAGGAGATGGTAATACCCGTTGGTTTGTCAGAAAGATTTGACCAGCACTGCTTTGGATGGAAAATGAGTTTTTGCCTCCAGATGAGCTCAGCGGCTGTAGCGCGAGGCTGGTACGAGGTGGAGATGTATAGATCAGCTGCTCATGCGGTAGGCGGACAAAGCCATCCTGGTCATGGAGCATCACCCAGCTGTGCAATCACAAGTCAGACTAAGAACATCATAACACAGGATTTAACGATAAATGCAGTAGCATCGATGGTAGAGCAGAGGCAAACGGTGTCAGGCCAAGGCTAGCGACCCTTCATATGTTGATAGCGTAGAGAAAGCCCGGGAGGCTGCCCCCCCCGAACAAATAATTATAAGGAAACGGAGAGTGAGGAAGTCATATACATACTTGATCGACATAATGGCCTAGCTATTAAGGCTGGATGTATGGTTTGATCTTGCAAATTATGGTGTTGTCTGGATGTACGGAGAAGTGACGGTAGTAACTTGCGTAGTTGGAATAACTGAGAGAAAGGACTGAGGATGTGAAGCCAGCTCCAGGGCAACCCAGGCTGAAACAACCAACAGACGGGAAGCCACAGGGGCAGACCGTTGAGTCTGAGGTCGCGGGTTCGAGATCGGTGAACAGATGAAGTAGAATGCGTGGTTGGTGATTCCCTGGCTGTTATGCAATAATCTGTGGGTTGGTGGTAGTATATCAGATCCGAGTTCTAGAAGTCCGATCGAATAGAACAGGATAAAGTGCGGACAGGGACCGGACCGGATCAAACAGCCACCAATAAAGATAGGTGAACAGTGAGCCTAGATGAACCAGTGCATATGACGAGAAGATCCCTGTGCTTTGAGATGCTTGGGGAGTCACTTTGAGTACAGTTCCGATTGATAGTGGTGATTGATGATTAGGATGAGTGGAAGTGCAGTGAAAGGCACAGTGGGAGTTGTTCATGTAATACTGGGTCCGCGGGGCGGCCGTCAGGCGGGGAAACTCCTAATCTCCCAATCTCCCAGAGTCATATGAATACTAATACTCTTTCCAAATTGTTTGAGAGTAGTGGATTTTCTTCTCTACGGTTGCCTTGTCCTACTCACTGCATCAATATATCCCTAACTTGGCCAAGGTAGCCTCTGAGCTGCACCTAGCAATCTAGTCACCTCCAGACCACTTCTGAGCCTATGAATTCTGCAGAGAATGTTCGATGCTATAGCTAGTGTCTGGTGATCCTCTGGAACTTCTTCCCGGAACTGCATACTACCTATACTAGACGCTAAAATTAAACATGCCATGATACATGCACTATACTTACATTCAATACCTACCTACCTACCTACCTACCGCGAGGGTTTCAGAAAGGGATTCCTTCTGCCGGCAAGTGTCTCTGATGAAGCTTAGAATAAGCAGCCACCCACATCACGCCCTACTTAGTGGCACGCAACTTGGATTGAGGAACAACTGGAGTATTAAGCTGATCTTTATCCATACCTTTCTTCTTATTCTGACAACATGCTCGGGAGTGGACGGCCTTGTCTACCCACCGCGGGGGGCCGAAAAGGTAAGAGGGAAAGTGGAAAGAAGAGTGATTTACACGTGGAGAAAGCCGTCGGATCCTCCAGTTTTGTTGCCGACCCACACACGCCTACCTACAGTTTAACTTACAGGTTACGTTTCCGGTTTCCCCTTCGGTGTTTCTCCCTTGGCTCATTTATCTTCGCCTCGGTCGGTCGGTCGGTCAGCCTTATTCCAATTGCTTGGTCTCCTCCAACCCCCCCCCCAGATTCCTCCTGCCTGGCTTGACTCCGACATTCACTTCATCATTATTTCTTCTCCAATTGAGTGTGTTGCGTGGCCTGGTGACCGCCTGCCTTTGCCACCAGAAATTTCCCACCTTAAAACAGAAACAGTGTAGCCTGACGGGCACGGTCCTATCGGTCAAGGACCACATTGCGATACTTTCTTCTACCTCATTTTTGAACTCTATTGCGGACTGGCAGTTTCTCCAGTCTTTCTACCGTTGATTGCGAACCTGATTCTCTGTGTGCCGTACGTCAATTGTGGTAGCTTTGACCCAACGCCGCAAGTACCGACCCGGCCATCCCCTTTCTCCGTCCGTGTCGCGAACTCGAAATCCCGAGGCCGCTCTTCCTTCGTTGTACCATTTTTGTGTGTTGCCAAACGAGAAACGAGAAAAAAATGTCGACCTCGATACACCTGTCGCGGTTCAGGAAATGGCTTCTGGCCTCTCCACCAATGGAGTTTGTCATTGCGCAACTCCGGGAGTTGTTGGTTGGGGCAATCAAGCAGGGTCCAGTTCCACAGCATATCGCGTTTGTCATGGACGGGAACCGGAGATTTGCGCGGTCACATGGCATCGAGACCGTGGAGGGGCACAATATGGGCTTCGAGGCCCTGGCAAGAGTGAGTCGTTGCGCGGGAGTCGTCACATTCTTCATCCATGCTACTGAGCTCTCGCTGACCTTTTTTTTTCTGTTTGGCTTTGTAGATCCTCGAAGTATGCTACAAGAGCGGAGTCAAGGTAGTTACGATTTATGCCTTCAGTATCGAGAACTTCAAGCGGTCGAAGTTCGAGGTGGACGCTTTGATGGAGATGGCGCGGGTCAAGCTGTCCCAGATGGCCCAGCACGGAGAGATATTGGATCGGTATGGTGCCAAAGTGCGGGTTCTGGGCCGACTGGACATGCTGAAGCCCGATGTCCTTGCTGCCGTCAACCGGGCGGTCGACATGACGAGCGGGAACGGCGAGCGCATCCTCAATATCTGCTTTCCGTACACCTCGCGCGACGAGATCACGGGAGCCATCCGGGATACTGTATCGGAGTACAGCAAGCCGCTGCCGGCGAATCGCCCGTCGAATGCTAGCCAGCGTACGCCCTTCTCCGAGACACACATCACGCAGAATATCCGAGCCCGGGCGCAGCACACGAAAGCGGACGACCTTCCCAGTGACGTTGAGACCGCGTCGGAATCGTCTAACGAGGACGGTGCCCCTGCAAACAACCTTCCGAACCAGGTCTACGAGTCCGGGTCTTCCTTTTCGTCCTCCTCCACCCTGCATCTGGGCGGGCAATCGGACGCAGCCAACGGAAGGGAGAATTCGCCCCGGAAGGAGAAAGCCGTGTACATGTCCCCCGAGACGATTACCCGGCAGACGTTAACCGAGCACATGTTCACTGGCGACAATCCTCCCTTGGATCTACTGGTCCGCACGTCGGGCGTGGAGCGGCTCAGCGACTTCATGCTCTGGCAATGCGACGAGGAGACGGAGATCGTCTTCCTCGACGTGCTGTGGCCGGATTTCGACCTGTGGCATTTCCTGCCGGTGTTACTGGGCTGGCAGCGTCGGATTTCCAAGGCTAGGAAGAACCCGGACGCGGAAGGCGACTTCGACGGGGAGAGTTACGAGCCCACCGAAAAGAGCAATGGCAAGGTCAAGGGCTTGTAGTCGGATTTGCGATTTGCACATACATCATCGAGAACACCCCCAGGAGTTTGGAGTTGCTTTTTTTGACGCAGCAGTTGGAAGTGATATTCCCCTTTGTTTCATCCCCGGTAATCGTTTATAGCGCAGCAGAGGTAGAAAAGTGAACCATCGGCGTGGCGTGTATATACGCATGCATACAGACAGACAGACATACACACATACACACATACACACATACACACAGACACACATACACCAGAGATACAGTACACATGCAGCATACAAGCATGCAAGCAAAACATAAACTAATCCACTGACTCGTTGCAAATCATCACTCATACGGTGTATAAATAGGGCGGGTCTTATCTCCCTGAGTCAGTGGCAACAGCAAATAGAATTGCGTGGATGCGCCGTGCTCCGATACCGGGTGGCACGTGACTCGCGGCGGCGGGGAAAGGTGTGGCAGCTACAGTAACGTTAGTAACCCTGAGGTCAATGACCAGGCCATTCGACTTTGACTTTTCTTCTTCTTCTTTTTCTTCTTCTTTTAATCGTTTCTTTCCATCTTAACCATCTCCTCCCTTCCCATTAACCGTCTATATTCTTTCACAATGGCTATCGCAGGCTCCAAGGTTCTCTTGCTGGGCTCCGGCTTCGGTATGCTCTGCCCTCTCCGCAATGCGGGGTGACTCACTCACTTTCACTTTCACTGCCATTGACACTGATATCGGGAATAGTGACCAAGCCCACCGTCGAGGTTCTCAGCAAGGCCGACGTGCACGTCACCGTCGGTAAGCCATTACCCCCAAACCGTAACCCAGTCCTCAAGTACCAGAACTAACCCCCCTCCAAGCCTGCCGCACGCTCGAATCCGCCCAGAAACTCAGCGAGGGGTTCAAAAACACGACGGCGATCTCGCTGGACGTTAACGACGATGCGGCGCTCGACCAGGCGCTGGCGAAGGTCGACCTGGCCATCTCGCTGATCCCCTACACCTTCCACGCGCAGGTCATCAAGGCCGCCATCCGCACCAAGAAGCACGTTGTGACGACCTCGTACGTCTCGCCGGCCATGATGGAGCTGGACCAGGCCGCCAAGGAGGCCGGGATCGTCGTCATGAACGAGATCGGTCTGGACCCTGTACGTTTGCCCTTACCTTGCCCTTACCCTGGCCTTACCCAGACTCCCCTCCCCCATCCCTCCAAACCCCAAACTCCTCCCCACTCATCCCATCCATTATGCTAATAAGGGGGGAGGAAAAAGGGAATTGACCACCTCTACGCCGTGAAAACCATCTCCGAAGTCCACGCTGCAGGCGGCAAGATCACGAGCTTCCTAAGCTACTGCGGCGGCCTGCCCGCCCCGGAATGCTCCAACAACCCGCTGGGCTACAAGTTCTCCTGGTCGTCGCGGGGCGTACTCCTCGCCCTGCGCAATGCGGCCAAATTCTACCGGGACGGGGAGGAATTCAGCGTGGCGGGCCCAGACCTCATGGCCACGGCGAAGCCGTACTTCATCTACCCGGGGTTCGCCTTCGTCGCGTACCCGAACCGGGACTCCACCCCGTACCGCGAGCGGTACAGCATCCCCGAGGCCCAGACCGTGATCCGGGGTACCCTGCGGTACCAGGGCTTCCCCGAGATGATCAAGACGCTTGTCGACATCGGCTTCCTGGACGACACCCCGCAGGAGTACCTGGCCCCGGGCGCGAAGATCAGCTGGAAGGAGGCGACCCAGAAGATCCTGGGCGCCACTTCCTCCTCCGAAAAGGATCTGGAGTGGGCGATCGCCAGCAAGACGCAGTTCGCCAACAACGACGAGCGCAACCGCATCATCTCCGGGCTGCGCTGGATCGGTCTGTTCTCCGACGAGGCCACCAGCCCCCGCGGCAACCCGCTGGACACGCTGTGCGCCACGCTGGAGCAGAAGATGCAGTATGCCCCCGACGAGCGCGACCTCGTCATGCTGCAGCACCGCTTCGAGATCGAGCACAAGGACGGCGCCAAGGAGACCCGCACCAGCACCCTGTGCGAGTACGGTGTGCCCGGCGGCTACTCCGCCATGGCCAAGACGGTCGGCGTCCCCTGCGGTGTCGCGGTCAAGTTGGTGCTCGATGGCACTATCAACCAGAAGGTTTGTTCCCCCCCTTTTCCCCTTGGGTCCGTAATAAAAAGGGAAGGATAGAAGCTAACTCGTGATGTGGCGGTAGGGTGTCATCGCTCCCATGACCATGGATATCTGCACGCCTCTCATCAAGGCCCTCAAGGAGGACTACGGTATCGAGATGATCGAGAAGACTCTGTAAACAGGTTCTTTTCTCTCGCGCGCGCGTGTGTGTGTGTGTGTGTTACGAACTCAATTAATGACGTGAAATTGGCCCGCGGTGGTTTAGATAACGGCAACAAAAGGATAGGGTAGAGAAAAAAAAAACCATACTATTCAACCCAGTCATACTTATATATTCCCTTGCACCACTTAGTGTTGAAATAAATCCAGACACATATCTTCTTGCATTGAGGACTCGGAGTTGTACCGGTATAGATACTTGACTACGGAACGAATGCCAGGGGGAAATATGTACTGTACTATTCATCGTCCGTCTATCGTGGACTCGTCGAACACGTGCGCGCGCGCGCCCCCTCGCGGCCGACGGTACAGGGTACGTGTGTATATATCACGAAAAGGAAGGAAGGAAGGAAGGTATGATGACGGTGCCCGCAGCGCATAATGCCTGCTGTATGCCCAGGAATCCCCCAAACGCCTCAACCCACCCCTATTACGAAAAACGAGATCGACGACGTGCGTTGATATGGACAGGTTTATGGCTTTAGATCATCCTCTCTCTCTCTACCCAATCAAAGTGTTCCCAAATGAGGCATTTATGAAATGTTCACATATATTCATGAATGTGTTCAGAGAATAGTGCCAAACCTAAACCCAGCAAGAGGACAACCAAGGCGATCAGTAGCTGTTTTCCAGAAGAGAAGGTCGCTGGGGAGGACCTGGTGTACACAGGACCTTTGTAAGGAAGCAAATTGGGGAAACAGGGGCATTTTGATTTGAACATACCCGAAAGTCTGCTTGATACTGCGGACGTAGTACACGTCCCAGTTCTGCTTGGTCACGTCTTCCTGGCCGACGGGGACGCCGGTCCAGGTCACGCGCATCTGGGTCACACCGTCGACATCGTTCTGGTCGAGCTTGATGTCGAGCGTACTGAAGTGACCCTCGGGCCATTGGGCCAGGCGCCACTTCTGTGTGATCTCGGTGGGCTCAAGCTTGACGTACTCGCCGCTAACATTGCCGTCGAAGATGGCGAACTTGCCGCCGACGTGGGCGCCCTCGAACTGGCGGGGGGCACCGCGGGTGAACGCGGCAATACGTTGAGGGTCGGTGAAAGTGTTGTACAGCTCCTCGGCGGTGGTGCGGAACTCGTCCGAGGCAGTCACGGTGGTGGTGTTGACCGAGACCTTGTTGCTAGTGGTGGTGGTAGTGGTGACGGGGGCGGCGGCCTCCTTCTTGACCTGGGGGTGGTACTTGGGCGCAGCAAAGCCGCTGGAAGGGTTGACACCAGGGGCATGCTGGAGGTCCTTGCCGTGCTCAGTGATCAGAGCCGGAGCAAGCGTGGCGAGTTCCTTGCGGAGCTGGGGGACGAGCTTGGAGCGAACCAGGTCCTTCACGGCCTGCTTGGAGGGCCCATCGGAGTAGTTCTCGATTTCAAACTGAGTAGCCCAGACGGTCAGTCAACCCCCTACAGGACGGCAATGGGGGCGGCTGATAGGGAACATACGACGTACTCATCTTCCTCGGTATCGTGGGCTACCTCAGGAATGGTGATGGTACCGCTAACGGACTCCTCGTCCTTGGTCTTACCTGTCAAAAGGTCTTAGTCGCGCCTCGGAAAGAAAGCACTCTTGTTGTCATTTACGAACCTTCATACTCCAGCTGTACTTTGACGTCGAACAAGGTGATGACCTTGCCCTTCCGCTGGCTGACGTCTACATCGCCATCCATCGACAGCAGGTTGGAAATCTTGGCGGAGGCGCCATTGTCCTCTGCGGAGACGACAACGAGCTTCTCCTTAAGGTAATCTTTGGCCCAGCCCGAGGCGTCCTTGTTCACCCAGTGCCAGTTGTTGGGGTTGTGCAGAACCATGTTGATTGTTTTATTTTATTTAAGGATTGGTCTAATGACTTGGGTTGCAGGAAGAAGCTGCTTCTATTGCGGGGCAAAACTTCGCTAGTGTGGGAAATTTGAGCGAGTTTATAAACTGCTTGGGTTTTGGTTTCCCACTGAGATGGAGGGAGGCTAGGTTCTGAGGAGACACAATGATTAGCACAAGTCTCCAACCAGTGTTTCAATAGCATAAAGCATCAAAGGTGTGAAAGAATGTCAGGATCCAGATAGCGTTTCCGGATCGCAAGCTAATCAGCATGGAGGATAGAGTAAATATCCCCGTCTGACTGGTGCCAGCTATGATGTCTCATCATGAAAAGGATTGTGCAAGGGATAGGTGCATTGGAAGGAAAAGAGTGAAAACTCAGTGCGACTCACAGTTGGGGAGACAAGACGTCCAGAATTAAGACGCTGTAGAGATGATAGATCAATTCAAGTCCACTGGAGCAATGGAAGGTAGGCGAGAGTGACAAAGAAAAGGTACCGTGGGAAGGAAAGGTGGTTGGATGGAGGGGGAGCGAGTGTGTTAAATAATGACACCCGACCTGGCTTTTTCTACGGAGAGGAGTTTAGGTTGAGGATTCGAAAGGAAAGCTCTAGAAGATTTAATTTCAATGCCGGGTCGTGGGGACTCGAGGTCACGTGGGAAGGCGGTCGGCCACATCGCCTAATTGCTGCCATTCTGCCTCAACCTTGCCTACTACTCAGTAAATCTCCAAGACCGATCAATCAATCAATTCAGTAACGAGCGAATGTGGGGTATCTTATAGCAATCAAACAGAAAAATAAAAACAAAAACAAAAACCACAAAAAAAGCAACTCAAGGCCAATTCGGTCCAGCCTACCACTTCTTTTCCTCATGCCTGCTCCAACTGCTCAATATCATCCCACCCATTCTCTGCGATGAGTTGCTCCTTTACCCGCTCCCGTAATCCTTGGATCTGACTTCCAAGCGCTTCAGCCCACTGGCCTTCCACTGTAGCAACCTTATCCTTCAGGTCACCGGTCAATGTACGCTCTTCGTCTGCTCTGAGCGCTTGCAGCTCTTGTAGGACCTTGGTCTCCGCCTCGCCCTGGCAGATGCGCTCGGCTTCCACGAGACTGCAGTTGGCTTTCATCACCGCCGACTTGACCTCGTGCAACAAACAGAACAGGTTGATCTGCGACTCAATGTACTGGTAACTGGATTTCTCGGCATGCGAGACCAGCGTGTAGAGATATTGCAGCGGATGCTGGTGGTAACTGGGGTTCTCATCATATTCATTGACGGGGATCTGTACCAAAAAGCCACGGACATCCTCCGGGATCTGCTGGACCAGGGCGAGAAGAGGCGGAGCAATGTCCCAAAAGGCAGACAGCTGGATTTCCACCCCTCGAGCCACGTTCTCCTCAATCACATCCAAGAATGACTCCAGGCGAGCCAAGGCACTGGCCTCGTGACTGACTCGACGGTCCAATGCGTCTTTCTGAAAGAAGGCACGGGTTTCAAGCACCTTCTCATCGTTCCCAGCTTGCTTATATGGCAGCAGAACCACTGCCTTGTACTTCTCATCCCGATCACTGATGAGTTCAAAGACTTCGCGGTGTAGGTTTTCTCTGGCCTCGAAGAGCCACTTGAGTTGGGTGAGCTTTTCCAGGAGTTCTGGTTTCTCGTCACCTTCCTCCTGTGTTTGGTCTGGCGTCCCACACCGCGCGTCGTCAAATAGCTTGCTGCGTAACTCGTCGATGCAAGATGTCGCGCGTTCGATTCGGTCTCTCAGTATCGCGCGCATCGGCTTGAAAACCGATTCTTGAAAATCATCTAACTGTCTTTGCACAACCTCTCTCTCAAGGGCGTCTTCCTCCACCAACAACGCTGCTTCGGCTTCTGCGGCCTCCGCGAACGTGATACTACCTTGTTCGATCTCGCTCTGAATGTTGGCCTTAAACTGTCGGCGACCATCCTTGACTCGGGTTTGGTGCTTCTGGAAGAGGACAGCCACCTCGGTCTCATGGCGTTGCCGAGTAGCTTTGATCTCAGATATATCGGTAATGGATCGAACCAACGTCCGATAAGTTACAAGGTCGGGGTGACTATTATTCACAGCAGGATAATGGCGGGGGTAAGGTGGCGGTAGGGTAATAAGCCTCGAAACATCCATCTTCGACCTCTCTTCACGCCGTTCGAGACGGCCAACGCCATTGCGGCTCGGATGAACCGGCATTTCAGGCTCCTCATGCCACCCGACCTTCTCAGGAGGATATTCATCTGGACCGTAAGTCATGCGTTGGCCGGTTGAATCCTGGTCACCGCCAATGCCACTCCCGGAAAGACTCTGGCTTTCTTCAAGGAGCAAGGCCTCACGCGGCAGACCCATGTATTTGCTCTCCCTCTTTGACCGTTGTACTCTTCTCTCCCCTCCTTCACTACTGGAGCCAGTTTTCGATTCCCACCAACGACTAGGAGCACGTCCTCGGGAGCTCATCTCGTCATTGCTGAGACCCAGGCTGGCAATCGGCGAGAGACACGGCTGGTAATTATTCCACCAAGCAGACTCGGGCCGAGACTGAGGAATGTCCAGCTTGGGCTTGGGGACTCCTACATTGGATACCCTCTTGGGGGGCATTAAAGGAGCGATAGCAGGAGCCATTTGGGTTGTCTGCGGGGTCTTCGGTGGCAACTCGAACAGTCGCCGAACCACCTCATCCACGTCAAAGGAGCCTGTGTTCCAGACTTTAGCATATTTCTCGCGTCGGATTTGAGATTCCGCGATAATGAACTCCGTGAACAATTGAAGGGCTTCCTTCTCGTCCACAGCACCCGCCTCTTTCTCAATGAAAACCTGATGCCTTTGCGTAGCGTTTCGGAGGAACTCATCATCGCGCTTGATGACCGAGTCAAGAGAGGGGCCTTGCTGGGCTGAGAGGCGGCGCGGTGCCAGAGGCAATACGGCGGGCACACTGTCATTTGGCAAGTGCAGGATATGTGACACTGGACGCTCATCGCTGGCTCTCGACTGAGATGGCGATCGTTCCTGTCTCGGCTGAAGTGGAGGTGTTGGAAGGGTTTTTGACGGGAGCGCCGGCGACGGTCGCTTCGATCGTTCCGTACCCGGTGAGAATGGCGGAGTCTGTGCATACCCAGCCGGGGCTCCTAGCGGGCTCGACTCAGCTTTAGGGGTCGAGAATGGGGATCGATTCGAAAACAGGCCTCCAGAAGACGCTCTGGATCTGGATGGCACTTGCTGCTGCATTTCAGAGCCCACACTGCGCGTACTTCGTGGCGTAATTTTGGCTGAAACCTGGTGTGGTGTTCTCTCCGATTCACCGTTTGTGTCATCATCTAAGACTAGGTTGGACGGCTTTATCTTCTCCAGTGCTTCAGCCCATGGGTTGCTGCTCATGGACACCGCACTGAGATCGTCCAGGACTTGACTCTGCCGGTTTCTGCGTTCGATCCGTCTCTCGCGAATGCCCTTGGCGTTGGGATCTTTGATGGCCGGGCTTCGAAAAAGACCGCCGCTGACAGAGCTTTGTGCTGTTTGAGAAGTATCATGCGATGTTGAACTGCTGCCCGAGGCAGTATTCATAGTATCTATGCTCAGGGGCATCTTCTCGTTCTTCGGTCTGACTACTGAAATGGTCTCGTCCACCCAGCCAGCAGGTGTTGGTGGTATGCTATCGAGAGTGGTTCCTAGAGGCGGAGGCGCCCTCGCTTTCCCGGTTCTCGCAGGGACTTGCTGAGTGCGTGCAGACGACGCATCAGACAGCCCGTTCACACTTTGTGACCTTGTGCTCGGGGGAGGACCTGGAGGAGGTGGAGGGAGGGGCATTCCTGGCTCCCAGCCTTGTGTTGGAGGTGATCGACTTCGAGTTTGACTGTGAGCTCGGGCTGAGCTCGTGCTGCTCACCACAGGTCCCGCCGAGACGGCTCTTCGTGAAGCCGGAGGACGACCTGCATCGTCCATGCCGTCCAACCCTGGCAACTGACTGCCATTATTTGATTGCGAAGCCCGCAGACCCTCCGGTGAGACGACGACATACGGTCTCGGCCCTACTGATGCGGCAATTTGGTCCTGGTAAGGTTCTCTTCTGCTACGAGACGATGACCTGGATCCTGCGAGACTCTGCGGTAGCGGGGGTGGAGGAGGCAGGGAGACTCGTCGGTTCCGGCCAGATTCGTTTCCTACGAACATAGATATCGGGCGCGCCCGTGGAAGACGACGCTGTTGATACTCCGAAGCTTGATCCATGCTCTGGCGCAATGCTCCTGTGTTTGAAGAGGTAGCACTCGGGGACGTCGAGCCCAAGGAGGAGGTGTTATGGCTGACATTATCTCTGGATTGCTGCTGGTGCTGATGACTTGGGGGCGAGTATGGAGGAGGTGGTGGTGACAACGATACATCTGCAACGATCACATTAGGCCTTTTTCAACTCCGGACTGGAACTGCCCACGATATCTATAGCTACAATGACGGAGAGGGGCATGGAACATAGAACGGGGATCAGACCTGAGTGAGGCCCCGATGAACGTGGCTGGGGCACAATCCTCAGCATGTTATTTGCCTGAGGATAAGTCTGTCGCCCCGGGTTCACTGAGGTATGTCCCACCGGGCCCCAATCCTGAGGGTTATAGGGCACGTTATACTGTCGGGACGACATAGGTGAAGATCCGAGGGCGAGTCCTCCAGGAGAAGCCACTACAGGAGACTGGCCGTGGGTGAACGGGCTCGACAGAGATGTCGTCGAAAGAGGCGCAGGGGAATATGCTGCCCCCAGACCAAGTCCAAGGCCTTGGAACTGACTATTGTTCAAGGCTGTTGTCAAAGGAGGAGGCTGCACCGCATGCTCGCGACGACGAGGTGAGATTAGGTTGCTGTTGCTGTGATAGGGACTCGGCCAGCTGCTCAGAGGTTGTGCACCAGACGCCAGCTCGTCGCCAGCATTGCTCGAAGACTGCCAACTATCGAGAAGGCTGTGATCAGCAACCCTCGGACCCTCGCAGCAGGAGATTGCCAAAGGGAGGAAACCGCGGGATGATGAGTGAGTGAGGAGAGTGGGAGAAGCCAAGCACACCTATTCATAGTCGTAACCGATCAAGAGGGCGATAGCCATGGCTGGGGACCTGCGTGCAGGGCAAAAAGATTACGGTCAAGCGTAGACACGAAGGAGGCGAGCCGACCAGACAATACGATAGGTGGTGGAGAGAAAGTCAAAGGGCTGAAGGGCCACAGGATAATTCTATTCTTTGCAACAACTTAGTCTCCAGGCCAAACGCGGGCCCCAGTGGCAGGGATTCGTCGACCTGTCCGGTTTGCGGCCGCCATCGTGGGTTGGGGGTCCACTGAGAAGGGAGGGGGAAAACGCAAGAAGATGAGATAAAGGACAAGAATAGAACATCAGGAGACGCATGGGTCCAGGGACAAGCATGAATGTGACGAGAGATGCAGCTGAGGCGGGTTGAATCACAGCCGGCGCGATCACTGGCGCTTACCTTCGCGCCCTCACGACCACTCAGAGTCAGGGAGAAAGTGCCAAGTGCCAAGGGTCTGTTCTTTTGGTCAATTCCAACTCCTCGTCCGACCCCAGTACTACAAGGAAATACAGATTAGGAAAGATTAGGTGTAATCAGTGTCAACAGAAGATTCTATTTTAATCTCAAATCATAAGCTTCGACTAATGCACTCTAGAAATCTAGATGAATCTGACATTTGACAGCCCTCGCATCTTGATCAGCTACTACGCTAGTTCAGAGACGGGCGCCACTCTTCTCGTCTTCGAGATTGCGTATCCTAGGAGTCACTGAAAGCTATATTAGCCATTTGATCATGCCACTCATTCGAGATGCAGAAACAAGAAAAAGAAGAAAGGTAGCAAGTCTTCTCCATTTCAGATAAATGCCCTGTCACAGGCGGTGGTCATCAAGGTATTTCTTTATGTTGACCGTCGTGATAAATAAAAAATAAATCATCATTGGAAAAGAGGGGATAAAAGACAAAGGAATCCAGTCCAGCTTACATTCATCTTGGGGAAGGTTGGAGCTCGAACTCAGTCAACATCGAGACCAAGTCAGGCTCCAACCTCAGGACCAAAGACCGTGATCGCGGCTACACGGATACCTGCTCAGTTTATTAGTCCTGAGCGTGGTACGTGAATGAGATGATCATGGAGCACGGCGACGAGTCAGTCATGACAGGTGTCGTCTCGGCCAGCAAAGCAGGCTTGGACATATGCTTGTCTTTGTTTTATGTCGTATCATCATGCAAGGAAGCCAGGCAAAGGGAAGAGGCAGTGTGACATACTTAGACCTCTTTCTCCCAGGCAGGGCTAACACAGGCACACTGGAATTGACAATATCTATCAAGTTGCGAGTCAGCCACATCCCATTAGAGATTCGAGATACAAAGATTCTCGCAACAACCATATCAGAAATGCATGAATGGTTAAAAAAAAGATGTTGTCTGCATGGATAACTCCAATAAGACTCGTCATCTAAGGGAATCATCATTGTGTTGGAGAAGGGACGGACAAAAACCAGGATATAATTACCTTTTGAAAGCGATAGCACGTATTACTTTGTGTGGCCTGTGATTACTTTTCAAGATGATCAGCCTCAGGCTATACATCAACGTTGACACAATGTGTGCTTTGAGCGAGTATCTCAGTGGGCGAGGTTTTCTAGGCCTGCCACAAAAAGGGCATATCCATCATGACCGGACGCTATGTCTTAACGCCGTCGGAGCCCAGTGCCGTTTCATCTTCGAAAGTCGCATCTGAAGAGGCAAGGAAAACGTGGATGGCTTACCCTCTTGGCTGCAGTCGCAAGCATTGCCTATGATGTAAAAACCTGTGAGAATCCTTTGAACTGTTAGCCTATGTTGCTAAGCTGGTTCATGAGACTTGACAAGCAAAGAGTAGTGTAAATTGAATCAGATTTAGCCATTTGATTTCGTCCAGGACCCGAAGGCCTCAGTCGGTAATTTCCAGCGTATTTAAACGTTGAGCATCATATGAATAGTGAAATGAGGGGGCAGTGCCAGGAATGGGGGAGATGCACATACCGTTAGTGATCATGTTAGGAGCGAGTCGTGGTCGCAGTGAAGCTAAAAAGGTAAGTGTTCTGTAGACTGATTAGCATCATGCCAACAGCTCGACTGTGGTAAGAGACAAGATCAAGTCCTTCGCAAATGCATCAGACTGACGTGCAAACAAGTGAGTTTTCATTCCCCGGATGGGTCAAAGACTCTAGTTTGAAATGTGGTTGTAGGTATCATCATAGAAGGATGATAGGATGTTGGGATGAGGGGTGATCTCGATGCTGGAGTAGCACTTACCAAAAAAGAATCTTGTTCAGCGAAGAACCAGATGTGTCAGTTCCAAATGTGCATGGTGAGCAAAAAGTTCTACAAGCTGTGTCATATCTGAAGCCACGATCATAATAGGCAGACAGACATTGCAACAGAGAATGTTGTTGTGATGGGGAAAAAAAGCTAAAAAGAAAAGCGAGTTGAACTTTTTTAAAGCTCTCCCGCCCGGAGCCAATTTTTACCGAGGAGTTAGCCTGCCTGCATGCGGTTAGTCGGCGTAAGCGAGAGGCGCGTGAGCTGCTTAGGTCAGCCCTGACCATTCTGCCGGTGTAACCATCATATCCGGCAAGCGGAACGTGGAGCGGTCAGGCCTGGACTCGAGAATGCTGAGGATCCTGAAGGGAAAGATAGCCGAGACTCTCAGTCTTCCAGTCGGGTCTCGACTCTTTTCTTTCTTTGAATAGTTCGGAATAGTTCGATGCGGGCTGATCAATCTCCGCGTGTCTGCTGACCTGCCCAAACCCACTTCAATGCTCTCCTCAAACGCGAGGATACGAGTATTTTTTCCTTCCACCTATTGCTGTTGTTTTGTCCCTTGATGTTTGGGTTATGACTGATGATTTCACTAGTTTGGGTCGAGCCATTGCCGGTGGACCGAGCTGTTGTTCCCTTTTGAGTGCTGGAAACAACAATCGAGAGTCAATTGCGGTGGCAAGAATGTCCTGCCCCTGGGATGGACACAGTAATCAACAGTAGTAAACAATAGCGAAGCTCAACATTTCACTGGTCAAATTCTAGAGCTTCAGAGTCTGGACTCTCAGCTGGCCAACAAGCTGACTACACAGTATACATACTCTCTCGGTGACGCGGGGAAAGTCGGGGGTTTGTTGCTGCTTACTTGCTTAGCCCTTCGGGCAGCCGGACAGGGACTGAAGGGAAAACTCGGGCTGCGACCGAAAGCGGAGAAGAGACGGGGAAATGACGAAAACTATCCCCATTTCAGTCATTTCGGTCATTGCGTCAATTGATGGTCGTTTCCCATCCGGTTTGTTCAAGTGACGTTAGCCAGAACCACTCCTTCCTCCCCGGCAAAAGATTGCTCCTTTTAAAGTCCGGCCAACGTGCCTCTTCTCAACTCCTTCACATACTCTTCTTCTTTTCTAAAAACGCTTGCTTGGATCAATTCCTCTCTCTCTGTGATTACCCATCTTCTCTCGCCTCGAAAACCCCACTTCCATACATATACATATTCCCCAAAATCACCCCTCCTTCGGCACCACCTCTCTCCCAATCTTAGTCCTCCAAACGACTATCTCCGTATCTTCCTGCTTTCTCCGTTGAACCGAGGTTGCAGTTTACTTAAAATCCATCTCAATTCCCACTTCGCCGGAATCGGAAGTTTATAGTTGCGCAGTTCTCTCGCTCTACTACCTATCTCAACTCACCTATTTCCCCCACCTACACACGCACATTTACACATCATGGCTTCCGGTGCTCCCCCCGTTGGACAGGAAAACATTAACACCGACATCGTCACCCTCACCCGATGGCTCACTGAAGAGCAGGCCAAGGTACCCGAGGCCACCGGTGACTTCACGTGAGTTCTGTCCCCTCCTCCCCTCCAGGCACGTGCGCACGCGCGCAAAACCCCCAGCAACCTTGGGAACCCAAACACTAAACACACCAAACTCGTACAGACTTCTCTGCCACGCTCTGCAATTTGCCTTCAAGTCGATTGCCTACTACATCCGTCGCGCCTCGCTGATCAACCTGACGGGGCTGGCGGGCTCGTCCAACACGACGGGCGACGATCAGAAGAAGCTTGACGTCATCGGCAATGACATCTTCATCGCGGCGATGAAGGGGTCGGGCAAGTGCCGGATCCTGGTCTCCGAGGAAGAGGAGGAGACGATCATCTTCGACGAGCACCCGGATGCGCGCTACGCGGTGGTGTGCGACCCGATCGATGGCTCCTCCAACCTGGACGCAGGCGTCTCGGTGGGCACCATCTTCGGCATCTTCCGCCTGCCCGACGAGGTGCTGGGCGCCGGCAAGCAGGTGACGGCCAAGGACCTGCTGCGCGCCGGCACGGAGATGGTCGCCTCCGGGTTCACCATGTACGGCGCCTCGGCCCAGCTGGTCATCACCATGCGCAACGGCACCGTCAACGGCTTCACCATGGAGAACTCCTTGGGCGAGTTCATCCTCACCCACCCGGACATGCAGCTGCCCGCCAAGCGCGCCATCTACTCGGTCAACGAGGGCAACAGCATGTACTGGGACGACTGGTGCAACGCCTACTTCCACTCTCTCAAGTTCCCCGGCGAAGGCCAGAAGCCCTACAGCGCCCGCTACATCGGCTCCATGGTCGCCGACGCCTACCGCACCCTCCTCTACGGCGGCGTCTTCGCCTACCCCGCCGACAAGAAGAGCCCCAAGGGCAAGCTCCGCATCCTTTACGAGTGCGCCCCCATGGCCATGCTCTTCGAGAACGCCGGCGGTCTCGCCGTCAACTCCCGCATGGAGCGTCTCCTCGAGGTCGTCCCCGAGCACATCCACGACCGCAGCGGTGTCTTCCTCGGCTCCAAGGACGAGGTCCAGAAGATCATCGACACCTACAACCAGCACAAGAAATGAATTTTTAGAACAAAAAAGGAATAATTAAATACCCCTACTACGTTCAAATGGGTACGGTGCTCCGGGGCTGGCCAGGGAGTTCTTCTTCAGCATGTCACGAGTTACGTTGTAATTAACGATACGCTCTCAAAAACAATTTAAATCCAAGAAAAACATTTCATAATTTCCAGCGTCCTTTCAATTTACTGTAGCTATCTTCACCCAGCTACCTTACTCTAGGAAGTGGATAAGTGGTAAGCTTGTACCTCCTAGTCGTTATCACCTTTTGGAGTATTTCCTTCGTCCTCCGCCGTTATATATTTCCACCAATGAGAAACTACTTGTTTGAATCAGCCCTCTCAGCCCTCCCTTCTCTCCTTAAAATTTGTCTCGCTTCTCAATTATAGCCAGACTTGTGCGTCCCAGGGAATCAGTACGTTTGTTCTCTTGGACATCGGCTCAATCCTGGTTTTTTTGGTTTTGAAAAGAGAGATCGACAGCAGTGGGGAATGATGTCATTTATCCCACTCTCTACTACCCACCCGTTCATCCGCCATTCAGAAAGGCAGAAGTTGAAGTACTGAGTACACAGTGTAAGGGAGCAAGCAATAGTTCCTACGATATGATTGCAAGTAACGTATCGTATGCTCTAGTTACTAACCCGAGCGAGTAAATGGTCTAATCCAAGACAAGACGCTAGCTAGGAACAGAGGACACACACGGAAAAACGAAAGGAATGTACAGTACAATCTGCGACTGTGATCAACAGATACAGACAACCACCACGAAGAAAAAAAAAACAAAAAACTAATCCACCGGCTCCTCCTCGAGGAGGGTCTTGAAGCTGAACGGGCTGAACGGCAAGCCTTCGCCCATGAAATGCTTGCTCATGGCTTCGACCCAGTGCAGACGGAGCGAGTGCAGCATGGCACTGGTGCCTTCCATGACACACAGAATCGCAATGGTCAAGGTGAACCAGAGGTAGAAGGTGACCACGATCATGAGGACGCGCATGGTGCCGGACTCCTGCTTGAAGGCGCCGCCGATGGTCATGTCCCACAGCACGATGGACAGCTGCTGGTGGGCCAGGGAGAGCGCCCACAGACGCAGGTACGACGCGGTGTGGGAGATACAGTTCAGGCAGAACTCGATCGTGTGGATCACCTGGTGGATCATGATCTCGGAGAAGTCGAACTCCTCGTGCTCCTCGTCGCCGATATCCTGGGCGATCATTGCCACTCCCTCGCCGTCGCTGGCCAGGCTGTCGCGGCCTCCGGGGGCGCGGCCATCTAGGTCACCGTCATCTTCCAGTGCGCTAACACGAGACTGCTCGCCGAGACCCCGGTATCCGAGAGCCCGAGCACGGTTGTGCTCCCAGCGGAGGTAGAATGGCTTAAAGAAAAGCATGATGGGCACCTGAATGACTGCGAGGAGCAGAAGAACGACCTGAACACCAGCTTGGCCAGGATACAGTTGCTCCTCGACAGTTCCAGGGTTGAGAAACATGAAGATGAGCATGTTCAAGAGACCAGGAGGGGACTGTCCACGAGCGTCCCAGTCCACAGACCACTTGTAGAGGATGGTGAGGACGAGATAACCGAAGATAGACTGGAAGAAGATCATTCCCGGAATGAAGTTACCAAAAATATCGACCTTGGACTTGAAGTGACGCGCATTGACATATTGCAGGCATAGAGCGTAAGTCATCTGCCGAGAGTTAGAACAAAAGTCGTTATCAGATGGATCAAAGGACAAGTACTTACATGGGACCAACCGAGAACGATACTCATCTTCATCTTCAAGCTGTTGGTGAAAAGCAGGGAATTCTCGGCTCCGTGCCAGTTCCAGTCGAGACCGAATGGATAGCGATCGCTGCCCTTCAGCGCTGCGTTCACAGTTTGTCCTTGCTGGATGTCCTCAGGCCACTTCCAAGCACTGGAGAAGATAGTGAATGACTTGGAGAAGATGTCGTTGTAAATCAGACCCGTGTACATGGAGAAGATACCCATCATCAACATGATGTAACGGCCGTAGAAAGCCATGTACGTCAATTCATCCAACTTCGTCTTCTGCAACTTGCGTTCCCAGAAGATCATCGCAGAGGCCGCCAGGAACATCAGTGTACCATGACCGAAGTCACCGAACATGACTGCGAACAGGAAGGGGAACGTAACGACAGTATAAAGACCGGGGTTGACTTCGGAGTATTTGGGAATACCGTAGGCATTGACAATAGTCTGGAAGGCCTCGGTGAACTTGTTCGTGCGCATGTAGGTTGGGGGCGTCTTGTTGGTTCGGATTTGGTTGACAATGGTGGGCACGCTCAATCCAGCACGGTCGTTGACATCCTGCAAGGTCGACTTGATCAAGGCCAACGAATTGGTCGGACACCAAGCCTCGGCAATGAGGGTCTTGCGAGCCTGATCGTAAGAGAACTTGTTAAGAGTATCATAAACTGCCTTCTCCTTCTTGACAATGATCATCCAAGCTGCGAGCGAGCGAGCGATCTGTGTAAGCTCCGCGTCGAGCGTGTTCTTGGTGTTGCGGAGAACGTTCCCAACGTCACTCAAGCGGGTGTTGACCTCGTGAATTTGGTCGCGTCTGAGTTCGCTGTTCTCATCAACATTGTACAACGAGGCGCCGAGAGACTCGGAAATCTTTCTGATCTTGGCGATGATACTCTTTCCATGGGCGAAGATGACGAATACGTTCTTGTGAGACTCCTCATTGGTCGAGGGGTCGATGATGGCCTCGGGGATCTCAGACTGGTTCATGTAGAGGTTACCACGCAGCGTACGCCATAAGATACGCTCAAAGGCGCCAATCCGATCCCGGGGAATCACACCCGCCACGAAGCCGATATTCATCTCCAGGAAGGACTGTTGACCCTGCGCGTCGCCGTTGGGACCTTGATGTTCGACGTCGCGAAGTAGTGGGGCCTCGTCATTGTCGAAAGACTGGCGAATCTCTTCGGTGTGGCTGTGGGCGCGATCAAAGAAACCACCGGCCTCCCTCAGAACCCAACGCCACTCTGTGAGTTCCACCTCACGCTTCTTCAAGGTCTCGTAACTATCGTTCAAAGAGGCAATCCGCTGTTCGAGGCTTTCGCTCCGTTCTGCCAGTTCATCGATCTCCGAAGCCAAGGGCGCTGCCAATGTATCCGAGAATTCAGAGGAGGACCTCATGGGGATGCTCGCCTTGTCCATCTGGCTGTGGAAATAGCCTGGCACGAGAAACAAGTTAGTGTACCGCCTCAGCTTCCCGTTCTTGACTTTATTGTATCACATACGCAGCTGTCTCTCCACATTGTCCAATCGACGGATTTCCTTTGTGAAGGTACGTTGGAAGGCATTGGTGTCGGGGTTGAGCTAGCGGCAGCCAGACGGTCAGTCGAGTGACATCCGTGAATGAGAGATATTGATGAGACTTACATCTCTGAATTCAACCTGACCAAGTTCACCCAGAGCACTGACAACCTCTCTACCGATTTCATTGGCAATATAAAGCTGGGTCAGGCTCATGTCCGAAGACCGGAAGAAGGTGTCCCTTGGAGCCATGGTGACGGGGGAAGCTGCCTGCAGCAGTACCTATCCACAGCAAGGACTAAGTGCGCAGTGGCGCTGTTATCAGAGAATGTATAGATAGAGTAACGATAGAAGCTTTCGTATGATAATGAAACAGCTTTGAGCTATTGGAAAGAGCCCCGACGTCTGAGTTCGGTAGGAGCTCGATGATGCACTTGAGATCAAGCCCGGTTCGGAGAGCCGCGTGGCTGCTTCATGTCACATGACAGGGAAGCCACCCACTGTCAATTACTAAGATATGACTAATCAATTAAAGCCCATTGTTACTTGAGTACACTCCTAAAGGAGTTCGGACATGCGATGAAAATGTAGTGCATTACGAGTCATCGATAATATTAGTGATTATTTAACACAACTCAATGCCCATGCGGTCTTCAAATAAAAACGAATGTCTACTGCTACAACTACCTAAGCAAACGATAAAGTCATCCGCCGAGCGTCGCAAAACAACCCTGTCAATTTGTCGTATATTCGTTCATTCACGCTTTGTGCGACAGTTGCATCATGCAAAGTAACTCTTCCAGAGCACACCAGAAAGATCCTCGAGCTGGTCCGACGTGAATGCCTGTTGTGGCGATGTTAGCGAGAGTGACCTTACGGGATTCCCGGGTTTGGCGATAGCTTACCTTCGCGTCAATGTGCCAGGTATCTTGTCTGGTCTTCTTAAACTCGCTGATAATAGACTTGACACTCGATCCGACAATGCCAGGGTCGCTAGCTGCTCGGACGCTCAGTGTGGTCAGAGCATCAGGCATCCACCTGGGCGGCGGACTGTTGTAGGGGAACGCTTGAATGAGCGCCCCAAGTCCCAGGACTGCACCGTGTCTGGAGATGATGAGTCGGGTGTGCTCTGGGGTCGGAGTACCTGCTCCAGAGGAGACTGGCGTTGAGATACCCGAGCGGAGTGCCTTGGGCTTCTTAGGAAGAGGGTTCTCAACCAAGACCTTAGTAAATCGCTTCTTCAGTCGGGCAACCATCTCTTCCCGGAGCGAAATAGGAGAGCAACGGATCATTCCAGACAGGGTGGCAGATGCTCCCACTCTCACCTCATGCTGTGGGTCTTCGAGCATGCTAGCCACGCACTCAAAAAGCTTGTCACGATCGCCCGCAGACAGTAAGAACAGACGACGGAAGTATATGATCTGAATGTTGATCATGACACGCAGACGTTGGTGCCATGAAGGAGATGTCTGCCCGATGTGGATGAGGGCTTTGATAAACTCCGAGTTATGCTCGGCGGGGTATGGAATGTTAGGCAGGTGACGAAAGACGTGGTAGGCCAGGGATTGGAGCTCTGGGTCTTCCTTGACATCCATCATGTGTAGAAGCTGCCCCGTGAACAAATCAGGGAAGAACGACACCAATTGTGTACATTCATGGGACGAAAGGGTGGAATCAAGCCACAGCAAAACGGTCTTGCATCCAGAAGTATAGGACGAAGGCGTTTGTTGACCGGGTGTGCGGGCTTGCCGCCATGTCTCAATACGGCTGAAGACTTCACGAATCATCTTGGTAAAATCTTCGGTGGGGAGATAAGGATATGTACCCACTGGAGACGCGGACTTCTGCGCATCGA